TTAAATTATATTTAAATTGATTTTTTTTAATTATAAACTTTCGATATAGTTTCAATTTAATTCACTGATATTAATAGGTTTCAAAGATTATCTTGTTGTTATTAGTCCAATGTGACATTAAATGTGACAGGAAGTTCATGGATTTCTTTAGATTTTTTTTATTATGTTTTTCTGTAAATTTAACTTCCTTTTCAAACTTTTTGGGATGTTTTTTCATGGGCACACACTCATTAATGTAATAAATTGGGATTTAGACTTTGGTGTGACATATTATGTTTGGAACTTTTTCTAATTAAATGTCTTGCAGTGTTGACCCTTGAGGGCATCTGGTGGTGTGAAAAATAATCTTAATGTGTAATAAATAATAAATAAATGGTAAAAATACATTTTCAGTTCTTTAAAATTGAGTTTGTGTCGATTTGATACCAGAAGTTTTAAGAGGCATACGAGTTGATTTATCTTCTTCTTCTCTCCCTTCCATCTTTATTCCTCGCGTGTGGTACTTTAGCGCTGTCATCTCCATCGGCATCACCATTGTCTTGAAATCTCCTCCATCTCTCTTATTTATTCTTTTTTTCTTCTCTCCGACGAATTTTGTGTAAGATTTTTGGCAAAATGTTAAAAAAGCCACGTTGAAAATGTATAATTAAGAGATGTGCTCAAAGTGTAATAAAAGGGATCCACAATTTGAGGTTTTATTATTTTCAATTAAAACACTTTTAAGTATGYTATACTAACTCTAACTGATTAGAAGAAAACTTTAAGGAATGTGCTATGTGTAATTATGATCAACGAAGGAATTCCATGTGATTATACTAATTTTTCAATAGTGGATTTTTGTAGGTCATAGTTTTTTCTCCGRTTTGAAGTTTTCCACGTAACTTATTGTATTCCTTTACTTTTGTTGTTTTCTTTTAATTTCTAAATTATTTTTTACTTATTCCTGCAATAGAAATAAGAAGTTTTCTCATCACTTCGCATGTGCTATTGACAAAGCACAAACACAAATATATACATGAAGTGAGGTAAAAGAGAGTTTCTCCCATCTTACTCGTTTCAGATCTATGAGGAAGAAAAGAGCGAAATGATAAAAGAAGAAAAATAAGTCACCCGTATTGCTTAGTCAACAAATATATATTTATATGATATTAATATTATCTATCTAGTGGCGTGTTTGGAAATGATGGTGGAAGTAGTAATCTTGAAAGAAAAAAATTAAGAATAATTGAGTTTCTAGAATTACCATCCAATTATATCTTAAAAATCAATTTTAAGTTACTTTATATTTTTCTAAAATCAAAATTTTAATTTGTCAAACATAATCAATAAAAATGRGAGTGATTTTAACCATAGCAAAAGTGATGTTGGCATCACTCCCAAACACACTGTAAATTAACTAGCTCAATCAACGAGTAATTTTTCGTGTCATTCTTTTTTTTTTCTTTCTATAGTCAACTAACAGTGAAATAATTCTACCAACTATTCAAACTTTAGAGGGACATTAAGCTCAAACTTAGATTTTGCCGAAACAAACAAAAAGAGAAGGGAAAATTGCTCTCCGTTGACGTGGCGCTTTCGCTGGAATGTGAAGGAAGGTGTGGAAGCAAATCAACACAAATTTCACGTGGTTGGGAAAAATCAATCATTGGAATATTAAATTTCAGGGAAAATAAAAAGTTCGTTTTGGGCACGGCCACGATGCGCTTCAGTTACGTTGGCACTTTTTTTTTCTTTTTCTTTTTTGTCTTTTTTCATAAATCAATATTTTGTAATCATAAAATAAGTTACACGATAAAAACGACCTAAACAAATTTACATGACAAAAAATTCATAATATAGTTAGAATTATTCAGTAGAGTCTAAAATGTGTTATGACTCCTAATAACAAAGTCCCAATTTAATAAAAATATACTAACGAATATATTTTATCACCGAATATGACTACTTATAAATTAAATCGTGTCTCAATCATACGTTTTCTTATTAATAATTATACCATAATAGTCATTTAACTATTGCGAGATTTCTTTGTCCAACCGTAAAGGACTTTGCAAATCATATACGCAAAGTCCCACAAAGATTGGAAGCATTTGAAATTGTCAAATTATAACATTCAAATTAATTACTTTGACCATGTGAACTCACGGAGTTTGAATTTAGTTGATTTTGAATGCATAATATAATATCAACTCAACTAACCAACTTGATAATTGTTGAGTAATTAAAAGGTGTGTTTCTGATATGAAAATAATGAATTCAACGAAAACCTCCAGTATTTTACTACTTTTAGATATGTTTTTTTAACATATTTGAAAATTGAATCTCAATTTAAAAGAAATAAATATTGGTAAGTCATGGTTTACCCACTAAATATTTAGTTTAATATAAAATATTATTAATTTATTTATTAACATAAATATTACAAATTTAGTTAGAATGAGTATTTTACAATATTATATGGTTTATAATGTATTATATTTTACATGTTTTAATTTTAATAAAAATAAATAAAATGAGTATATAATACTAAAATATCAATGGTATTTTATCGATATCAAAAATATGAATCTATATTTTTATATTTAATTGTAAAAAAGTCACATTTGGTCTATAAACTGACAATTTAGTATTTAAATATCAACGCATAACAGTTTCATGAACGTAGTTTAAAATATATAACAATTTAATTTATAGGCATGAAGGTAAGGATAGTTAGTTTAAAATTTGTATTGTTATAGTCTACATACTCAAATTTTTTCGCTAAATAGTTATAGATTAATTTAAATGGTAGGGTATAATTCATTGTATAGAAAAATTACGAAAAATTAAATTATTTTAAAGATATGAACTAAATCATTATATATTAAAATTTGCAGAGGGAATCTTATTAAAGTAATGGACTTCAAATGTAATATTTCAATAAAAACTTAAACACCAAATAAAACGAAAAGGAAAAAAAAAAAGTAATTAGAAACATTTTTAAATATGAAATAATTGGATGGTGACGGTAAAACATTGCGGGCCGTCGTGGAATTTGTCGGTCACGTACTAAGCGACGAAATCCTTCGGTTTTGGCCGGTGGGTAGTGGGCGGCTCTGATTCAACGATTGCCGCCCATTGGATCTGACTCAGACCACGCGACCGTGACACGTGCCAAAACAAAATTTTATCTTAAACACTTATTAGTTTCCAATATTTTTCTAATATTATCTCATGTTTTTCCCCTTTTTTTTTTTAGAAAATCGTGGTATATAGTTACTGGAACGGTAAAAGTTTTAAAACACTTTCTTTTAATATGAAATTTAATCTCGTTGGATTAAAACATATATATCCAACTAAGGAAGTGAGAAAATTTATAGTATTACGAGAACATTAATTTCATCTTATGTTTGTTATGTACTTAAAAGATAATGGAATTATCCACTAAATAAAATAATATATATTGAATGAATATTGTCATAGTACTAAAAACTTTCCGTATTTTATCGTGAAATAAATCATAAAAAAGGACATTCTATTTTTTTTAAATGGGGAGTATGGATGGATTCGAACAAATAATGATGAAAATAAATGACTCTTTTTGGAAAAAGAAAAATTGAATACGTGATAGGAAGATTTGAGACTCCAACTTCAAAGCTCGCTAAAATATATTCATGTTTAATTTATATTTTAATAATGGAGTTAGATTTCTTCATTCTTCTTTTTTTTTGCGCTAAAAAACTTCATTTTTCCATTTTTTCAGTATATATTTAAAACTTTGAGGACGAGGGCTATTATATTGTTTTTTATTACGTTTGTTTATCTATTAATCTTTTTGAAAGAAGGCTATCATGTTATTTATTTTTATCTTTTATTTAATGCGGAAAAATATGATCTACTTGCAAACAAAAAAAAATATAACATTTAAATCGTTTAATATAATTGCAGAATAAAACACGAAACCGATGATTTAGATTAATTGCATTTCCGTGGGCTTTTCTTTTTGGTCTTTCACGCTGGGAGGATCAGCCCAAAACGTCGGGCAATTTGCCCGGTTCCGTTTCGTGGCGCCAAATTCATTTGCATATATAAGAATATTAAATAAATACAAATATTTAGATGAAAAAAAGAGTGCTTTTTAATTCCATTTACTTGACTCACAACAATTTATTTATTTATTTAGTCTATTTGGTGACAATTTTTATTTTGTATTTTTTAATTTTTTAAATTAAGTATATATTCTCTCGATCTCTTTGGTACATATTTCACAATTCTTGTAAACACATTTAACTTGTTATTTTTAAAAATTTAGCTTTAAGTTTTGAAAATGTAAATAGGAGATAAATTTGTATTTATAAGCTTTGATTTTTAAAAACAAAAAAATAAAAAATAAATTGCTTTACCTGCTTTTTTTTTTTTTTTTTTAGATATTCACTGTCCAACAACAACATTATTTGGCTAGTATAAATAACCCATAAGTGTGTAAGATATTATTAACCATCGAGTAATTTGTCAAAATCTATTTTTGAAAAGTCTGACACCTAACTTATCTATATAAATCCATTATGATTAGATGATTTGTTAAGTAAAAAAAATATCGAGTCAATTTATAAATTTTTAACCTCGTATCTAATAAGTCATTCAGTTTTAAAAAGTGTGTGGCAAATCACTAACTTTTAATTTTGTATTTAATAAATTGATGACTAATAATTCATAAATTTGATCATTTAGATTTATCAGAAACGAAACTAAAACTTGAATGAATTATTTTACTGTTTTTAAAGTTTTAAAACAAAGTTTAGAAACCATTAAATATTTTTAAAAGTTTTAAAATGTATTCGACACAAGTCATCAAAACTTGTGATGCACTTCTTATAGTCCTTTTTGTAAAGTTCACTAATTTGACCTTGAAACGGGTATGATTTGATTTTACCACCATAAAATTTCTTATTATCTATTGCTACGATAAAAACGTTCCAATGAGAATAAATTTATCTTTGGCTTAACAAATGGTAGAATATTAAATCATAGATAGGTGCCCACCATGATTTGAACTCATCTTTGTTATTTACATTGGCCCTCATTGACCACTAGTCCATTCCATGATGGTTGCCTATTTTTCACTATCAACATTCTATCATTTCATAAAGTATTTTATTACCACCATTTAATATTATTAGGAATGCCTATTTTTCACTATCAACATTCTATCATTTCATAAAGTATTTTATTACCACCATTTAATATTATTAGGAATGCGACCAAAATCTAACTAAATATGATAAGATCACAGATATATAAATTAATACAATTATCTGTATGAAATCTTTTGGATAGAACAAATACAACTGGAATAAGAGGTTTGTTTAAACAAATACCTTCCAAATTTTACAATTTAACAACCATTTCAATTATTTTTAATTTCAATTTAAATTACGAATCAAACTTTCTACTATTATCATAATTCACGAAATAATTACCTAAAAGGAAAAGACCAAAAATAGGCTGGCCCATGGCGGCATTATCCGTACAGAACATCCGAATTGACACGTGAAATGTTTCAATCCTAACTCCTGTGATTCCCAACAAAGCGAGGGAAGCCGTAAATATCAAAGCAACGTCGGGATAATTTAGGTATTTCGCTACGCAATTATATGAGTTTTTTACTCTTTTTAGCATATAATTTTATTTTTATTTCCTAAAATTATATCTAATGTATGTTTATTTTCCATCGTTCTTCCTCTTGTCAAAGTTCTCTCTAGTCTCTCTCGAACTTCCGGGAACGTCAAGCAAACTCTCTCTCCTCCCGTCGACTGTCTTCTCCGCCGCGAAGAACCCGCAATTTCGCTGTATCGTGTTACCGGCAATGGCGAAAACAGTCTTCGCCGGAGCTCCGACGTCGCGGGATAGTCGGCGAGAGTCTCATCTGTTCTGTTCGCTTCTTTCTCCATCTCCAGTATGTTGTTCTTGTTGATTTCTTCGCTTCCTGGTTGATTACTGAATGTTTCCTCAGATCATCGGAACCAGAACTTAAGCCATAAACCTAGGATTATTTAGGTTTTGTTGGAGAAATCCGGCTGCTCGTAATCGGAACGAAGAGGTATATGTTTAGTGTTAGTACTGTTCTGTTTTGTCAATCTCGTACATTATTATCTGAAATTTGTTTTTTCGTTCTCTTTGTTTACAGAGATATGGAAAAACGTGGATGCTTGGTATTCATCTTCTTTGCTTGCTTGTTAGTCGTCTCAGATGGAAGAGGTGAGACTGCATCTTATCCCTCTTTTAGTTGTGCATTTCACATATGCAATTTGAGATATCAGAGGAAGTGATTTTAGAATTTGTTTGTCTAGTTTTGCCTATTTGAGCTGTAGTTTCGTAACGCTATATTTATAGCTAGATGTAATTTGCTTCTTTATGGAGCACACTTTTAAATAGCATACTCACTGGAAATTATCTTCAAACGTAGAGCCGAAGCCGATGAAGTACAAGGCAAAGAGTTCATCTGTTTACAACCACACCCTTGCCATTATCATGGTTGAATATGCCTCTGCAGTAAGTTCACAATTTGTTTCGTTTGCCTCAGAAGGGCAGTGTTGTCAATCTATTGACACATACAAGAGTGATGCAGCTGTCAAACATTTACGAGCTGAATTTTTTTTACCTGCATTTTGTCATTTGCAATGCTCTCTCTCTCTCTCTCTCTCTCTCTCTCTCTCTCTCTCTCTCTCTCTCTCTCTCTCGCTAAGATAGTGGAATAGTATGTACTCCAGTAAAATTGTCCCAATACCTTCTTATAATGAGCTTAGACGAAGCCTTTGGTTCAAGCCATTTCTACTTAGGAATTAATTTAGGTTTATTGGATTTATTGATTGTGTGTGTAAGACTTTATAGTTGACGTTGCTGAAGTTGATGAAGTCAATATCTTTTGAACTGGATTACAATTGCTTGATATGAATGTTAGGTAGTGCTATTATCATGTGAGATTTAACCATGTTTAAGGGTGTGTTTGGGAGTAATTTTGGCATGGCTAAAATCACTTTGCCATTGCCAAAATCACTTACCAATCATGTTTGAAAAATTAAAAAATTGATTTTAGGAAAGTTTGAAATCACTGTAAATTGATTTTTAAGGAATCACTTGAATGGTGATTTTAGAAAATCAGTTATACTTAAATCCCTTTTTTCAAAATTACTCAGGCTTCCATCACTCTCAAACACACCCTATGAACGGTTTCATTTTTCAGGTTTATATTTCTGATATGACAGCTTTATTTACGTGGACATGCTCAAGATGCAATGGCTTCACTGAGGTACTTGGAGAAATGAAATGGCTTATATCCAATAAACTCCAGCTCCTAAAATGAGATTTTCTGTTATCCAGCCTCTTCACGTGTTCAAGTTTTTGGTATTAATGCTTATTTTCCTTTGATACAGGGGTTTGAAGTTGTGGAGTTGGTTTTTGATGTTGAAAGTTGCCTTCAGGTGCATAGTTATAGGATGTTTTCCTGAGTTAACTACCTTGCATTTACCTATTGCTTCTTGTATCTATGCTGATATCACCATCTGCTGCAGTCATTTGTTGGAGTAGCCAAGGATCCACGTGCTATTATAATTGCATTCAGAGGAACACGGGGAAGTAGGTACAATGCTTTTAAGAGTTTTATATTTAAGTAACTTCAGTTAAATATCCTCCCTGAGCTTTGAGTTTTTAGTGGTTTGTTGAAATAATGAACAAGAAGTTTTTGCTGTTTTTGTTGCGTGGCAAGGGGAGCCCATTGCCAAGGCTAGATCTCTTTTGGTCATATCGGCTTAGAGGTCTCAAGTTCGAACCTCCGGGTGAGCTTAATAAAAAAATCCGTCATATCTCTCACGTCCGAGCCTTAAGGTGGGCGCGGGTGCCCCGGATATAGGAGAACAAAGATCTGACACCTGATTATAAAAAAAGAAAAAGAAGAAGAAGAAGTTTTTGCTGTTTCCTTTGTGTGGCTACTGAAAGCAACACGAGGAGAAAGATAATGATAGAAAAACTTGGATTTTCCAAAATTTTGGGCAGTATTCCACATTCGTGATAATATAATATTAAAATATACATGTATGGCATTTCCTCTCAAGCAAATTGCTTTATAGACGAGTGGAATAATTCAGATTTACAGGTTACGAAGCCCACATGAAAATGGTATCCAATATTCCAATTCTAAGAATTTCTAGCTCAGCGGTGTTGTCAATTGTCGTTTTCTTTTTACTGATTTTAGTACTCGATTAGCCTTCTGTTATCAACTGTTATCTTTGATAATGCTCAGTCATTAGGCGTTGGTTGCTTGATTTTTTTTTTCTTTGGAAAACATCACTCATTCTTTGCAAAGATAAATATATTCTTGTACGTAACCCATCAAGATTTGACGTGAAGGTTTTGGTTAATCTTTGTCTTCTTGATTTTAAATCCTGAGATTGACCTTCTCTGCAGCATACAGAACTGGATAGAAGACTTATTTTGGAAACAGCTAGATTTAGATTATCCTGGAATGCCGGGTGCAAAGGTGTGTTGTTACTAGAACTTGAAGTTCTCTTGGTCTGTACTTATTCAGCTGAATTTTAAGAGCATCACTTTCTTCGTTTTTGTTCCACCATCATGTTAGGTACATAGTGGATTTTATCGTGCTTATCACTGTACAACAATGCGCCCTGCAATTTTAAATGCAGTTAAAAGAGCAAAGGAAGTTTATGGGGACCTTGACATCATTGTGACAGGCCATTCAATGGGGGGAGCAATGGCCGCTTTTTGTGCTTTTGATCTTATAGTAAGTGATATTTGTTCCTTAACGGCTTGCAAAAAATCTTTTTGGTTTTGCAGAACTAGGCTCATTTGCATGTTTTAGATCGAATTGGTGTGTATGGAAGAACAAATGGAGTTTTGGATTCCATTTTCATGGATTTTGCCTATTTCTTCTTTTATTCCAAGTCCATTTTCTCTCTGGTGATCCTTGTGAATTGGAGCTCATCTTAATTTAGCTACAACCCTGAAAATCACCCGTTATGATCTCTTGTGACTCACTCACTCTCAGGGGTGCAAGATGAAAATAAAAAAACTGTGTAGATTTAGTTTATTTGAAGTATACTTATCTGTTGGTTCGTATAAAGTCAGAAGTAGTTGATTTGGATATATTTTCTTGATTTTTGTTTGTTCGAGCAGGATAGTAATTTTTTTCACATAAATAAAATAAACCAGTTTGGTATCAATTATTTATTTTCCTTAAACCGGTTTACCGGTTTGAAGTCGAGTTTGGCTGAAAACCGATCTAAACCTACTCAGTTGTACCTACAAGTTTTAATGGCATCTTTGTTCAGTATCTAAGGTTTATGGATTTGATTATTTATCTTATAGTTGAGCATTTACCTTTTCCACAGGTTAATAATAAAGCCTCAAACGTTCAAGTTATCACATTCGGCCAACCTCGCATTGGCAATGCAGCTTTTGCATCTCACTACAGCAAACATTTGCCGAATACTATTCGAGTCACAAATGGACATGATATGGTGCCCCATTTGCCTCCCTACTTTTTCATTTTCCCTCGAAGAACATATCACCACTTCCCAAGAGAGGTACAAATTTGCTTTATGGTGAATTATGCATAAGTTTGCTGGAAACAGAAGAATTATTTAGATTTACTTAGATCGGTTGGTAGATCTTTTATTTGTTAGCCAAAGCTCAGAATTCATCGCCATGGATTTTATGGGCAGAGTTGGATGTTTTTTTTTTCTCTTTCTAGATTAGCGGACGTATTTTCTCTTTTTCAGGTATGGCTTCAGGGTACTTCATCGAAATGTTTTGCCTCCTACACTGAGATTGTCTGTGATGATTCTGGCGAAGATCTAACTTGTAGCAGGTAAATCTCAGCGTTTGTTGTTAATATAGTAGTAAAAGTTGCACACTTAACTAGCTATTCTTTCAGCGTTTGGTTTTATTTCCGGGTGCAAGGTGGTCCCTTCACTTAGACAAACTCAGTTGAATTAATGATCTGAAAATCCTAGTGAATTGGAACTAACAACCATTTGAGTATGTGAATTCCTAATTCACAATCCTAATTCACAAACACTAGTTCGATTTCAACTCTAAGGTTTAGGTTAGACATGGGTTACTTTAAGATCAAACCTCTTGAGACAAAGAACAACTTCCTTAGGAGTCGAACACTTTGAAGATAGAGTGATCAATCCCACTTTGATGTTCTTGACGTGCAACTCAAAGAAACATTAATTGCAAAAGTTTAAGAAGCTATTGGCTAACTTGAAAGGAAAAACTCAATGACTAAAATCTATTCAACCTCATGGCAAGATTTCAGCTAGCCTCCCAACTAAACTCTGGATATCACATCGTAAGGGTACAATTGGAAAGTAATAAAATTACATAAAAGAACTCTTAAATAAAAATATATTATAATTTGAAGTTCTAGGCAGTTCATATCCATTGGTTTTGTTAAATTTTTTGGATTAAAATACCTTCTCTGTGTAAAGTTCTATATCCATCCTCCCTGATTTGTCTTGATACTGATGAAATCTGCTGCAAAAGGTTTCATGTTGATGAGTAGATGAACTTCAGCAACATATTGATCACCAAGTACCGTATCCAAGTTAGAAGAAGCATGAGATAGCATTACTTTATAAGAATCAGCCATCTTTTGAAAAAACTTGCAATTTCATTAAATGCAGATCTGTAATTGGGAACAGCATTCAGGACCATTTGTCCTATTATGGTGTGGAATTCCCAACTGATGATCCAGGAACATGTTGGATCGTTATGGATCCGTTGCTGGTCGAATACGGATCGATCGATTCGAAAGGTAATATCATGTTGTTCAGAGATCCTGCTACTCCAATTCCCATAATACCGACTTTAGAGGCAAATTGGAGCAAAATTGGTACTTGATTAAAGGCCATTCTCCTGCAAGATACCCGAGTGAGGTCAGCTTTCTATATGCTCTTGTTCTGTGATTAATCACCACTATGGCTTGTATATACTATGAGGTGGATAACCATATATATATGAGTATATATATATATTTTTTTATAATAAGAAACTCGAATTGTATTAATCACAAAATAAGCACCACACAGCCTATAATGTGCTTGATATATTGTTGCATCTCTGTCTTTCCTCAACTCTTAGACCAATTTTTTCCTGTTGAGTGTAATTAAATTACGAGTTTAATCCTAGAATTTTTAAAAGTACCTAATAAGTTCTTAAAAGTTTAAGTTCCATGACTTGTTAGATGTTTTTTAAAATTCATGGATCTATTTGAATCTTATTGGATTTAGTGTCTAGTAGGTTTGTGAATTTTAAAAGATTTTATATAAGTTAGAGACTAGATATAATATTAAGAGTTCGGGATTAAAATATCAATTTAACCATAAACTTCTATGATCGTGAAGTGGTTCACTCAAAAATTAGGAATTTGATGTCTTGATCTTGAAATGGCCGTGCCAAGAAAAGACAATTATTTTCATTCTTATTTTAAATACATTTAAGGATAATTTGGTAAGTTGATCAACAATTTTTAAGACTATTTTATTAAAATATGATTATTTTTTAGTAGAACAAATGTGGGGATGAGAGATTTAAACACCCGACTTTCAAAGTAGTAAGATGCATTAATCAAGCTATGTTTATATCTAAAATATGATTTTTATACCCACGGTTGGTTTTTTTTTTTAATTTTAGCAATCCAATCAACGGATGAAAAATTTTAAAATCAACTAAAGCTATCCAAATATGTTTCTACTAAATATATTTTTAGTTTTAGAAAATAAAAAATAATTTCTAAATTCATCTCCCAAACAACCGTGCGGCCCGTGAACGAGCATCTATCCGGTTTTCTTTTTTTTTTTGCAAATAAAATTAATTTAAAGGAGTTTAAACTCAGTGTTTTCAATAATAATTATATATTTTTATTAAAAAATAAATAATTTTTAGGCTCATAAGAGCCTTTAAAGTTAGAGGTTGAAATATCCTTACTACCAATTTGTTTTAAGTCGTTGGTGCTTTCTCTCTCCTTTATTTTATTTATTGTTTTTTAGTACAACTAACAAACTATTAAATATGTGTTTTGCAGTCATGTTTCCATGAATATTTTCATATATTTATAGATTCGACGATGGGAGGTAAATTGACGTTTTATAGTATCACAAAAAATTCGATAATATATATATATATATATATATATTTAAAATTTTGAAACTGATGTAGAATATTAGGATTTGAAGATTTGAACTCCCAACTTTAAGGGAAGAAATATATGTAGTTATACGGTGACAAATTTAAAGTTTAATTATTATTTTAAACCTACGTAAATTTAAAATTTAAATATTATTTTAGAACAATATGGACGAAAGTCAAGACTAATATAAAATTTAGATGTATATTCTTCTGTCAAATACAATGTAAATATGAAAAGTCATATGTTGACTCAATTTTTATTAGTGATCAGTACAATATATACATTGAACGAACACGGAACATAAGTATTGTTCGATAGCGTCTCACTTGAACTCTATTAGGAGCCTCAAGGCAGCAAGCACAACAAGAGAGAGAAACGACGTCGCTCCAAGGAGGGAGAGGAGGAGAGAAGCTGCTCCTTGGCCGCAGAATCGTCCAAAAACGTTGCATATTTTGTTCCACTTAAGATGTGAATTCCCATTGCGGCCGATCACACCGACGGCGGCGGCGGCTCCGACACCGGAAAACAGCAGCGCCACCGTGAGAATATCCATCACAATTATCGCCGATCTTAAGCTTCTGCTTCTGCCTTTGTTTACAGCTGAAAGCAGCAGCGATAAAGCTGCGTATGAACATCCTATTGCATTTGCCACCACAAAATACCTAAAAGAAAAAGCAATTACCCATTTTTAAGTTAATTAGTCGAAAATTCTAAGATTACCTGAAAAAACATTTAAAGGTTTAGATTAAAATGCTAATTCGTAAGCTTGGTATAATTTTGTTATCTTTATTTTTAAAATATTCATTTTAGTCTCGTGTTTATTTTAACTCTTGCACTTCTAAAAATAATCATTTTTTTATACACAACTGAAATCCTTTAATGTAAAATTATGGCTATACTGTAAGAAATATATGGACTCCATAATAACATGTTAAAAGAAAAAAAAACATGATACAAAATAAAATAAATGACCAAAAAGTAAAAAATTAAAATAGACAAAATTAAAAGTATACAAATTAATATATATATTTTTAAAGCATCGTGACAAAAATAAATGAAAGAAAATATAAGGTTCAAAATAGTATTTTAAGCCAACTTTTATAAAAATCAAAATAGTATTTTAAGCACACTTTTATAAGGTTCTTTAATTATTTTAAATGATTATATAAAATTTTATAATTTATTTTATTTGAGTACCATAGGAGAAGGTGAAAAAATTCGAATTTATGAATTATAGTTGAGTTTAGGGGTGTTCAAGGAACCCGACAACCCGACGAATCCAATCCAACCCATAAAGGTCGGGTCGCGTATCGGGTTGACCCTTGAAAATCCCGGGTCAACCCGACCCGATCCGAGATTATAAATCTTTTTTTTTTAATTTATATATACTAATAATCTAATATTACATATATATAATAAATTATTAATTATTAATTAAAATCTTATTTTTTATATTCAATCTCATCCATCCATTTCATTAAATCTCAACCATGAATTTTAGGTTTCAATTCAATCCTTTCCCTTTTGAATGTTTGATTTTTCTCTTTTCTAACCTTTTCAATTTCATCTTCCTCTCCCTCATCTCTCTCGCTCTATAGTAAGGTGTAAGCTTTYAGAATTTGTGTTTAAATTAAGATTATGATTTATTTTTTTTGTCAATGTTATAAACAAAACAAAAGTAAATTAATTAATCAATAAAAAAAACCCGGCAACCCAACCGAACCTAACCCGAATTTATTGGGATGGGTTGAGTTGGGTTGGCCATCGTTTTACAACCCGATGGTTCCCACAAATTCCAATCCGAAAATTCGGATTGATCTCAAAAATACCCCAAACCTGAGCCAACTCAACCCATGAACACCCCTAGTTGAGTTAAACTATGTGTGCATTATAATTTAATTTTACAGTATCTTGATATTTAAAATTTAATTTTAAGGAATCAGGTCAATCTTCATTGGAATCCAAATTTTGGTTATTTGCACACAAAATTAATAAAAAATACTTGGTTATTTTATTCTTTCTTTTTTTTATGGGTGAGGACCAAATCTACCTACTTATTTCCTTTTTCCAACAATGTTATTATTCCAAAATATATGTTGGAACTTTTTTTTTTTGAAAAGGATATATATTGAATTAAGTAAAACCTTATTAAAATTATCAATCTTTTTAAACTAGAAAAATAAAAATATTTATTATTATTATCGTTAGAGAAATTAGAATATAGCATGAGGATGATATCGACTTCTATAAAAGTTTATTTCTTTCTTTTTAAGATATGAAGCAGGGAATCGAACTCACAACCTCGTGGTTGGAGATATATGTCAATTACTCGTTTTTGACAAAAGTTTATTTCTTTCCATTTATTCAATGACCATCTTTATATTTTCAATATTCAGAAATATAAAGTGCATTTTTTTAAAAAAAACTTTAATTAAATAAGAAAAAAGAATTAAAAAAAAGAATTATTATTTGATATTTTATCATAAATAAAACTTACACCAGGGCAGATAAATAATGCCATCTCGCAGTAACAGGAACGTAGAGAGGTGGCAGCGCGGCGGCGAGTTGCAGCGGCACCGTCTTGGTCTGCTTATCGGCGCCGATGACCACCGCGGCGGCCAAAGTCAGCAGCAGCGCCACCAATCTCAGAATCAAGTCGTAAAACCTTGCCGGCGCCGGCGCCATCGTCCTTCGACTCTCCGCTCCGTGGAAGCCAGGCGGCTTCATCTGGCCGTCCATTGTGACCTACGTGGCTTTCTTCCGTCCGATTTTCTAGAGAGAGAGAGAGATTGGAATGGAATTGAAGATGGAGAGAAGTGAGGGGAAATTAGGGCATAGAAGCGGAAATTAGGGCATGGAATTGGATGCGTTGGAAGGCATGGAAGGCGCCACATACTTCACAAGTCGTAGGTGCTCATCTCTTCCGCTTCCTGTCAATTTTGCAGAGCCTATGGAATTTGAAACTTTGTACGCCACTTTTTGACTGCTCAAACTTTTCATTATTATTATTATTATTATTATTATTGTTATTTAGGTCAACATTGCAGGATGGGAATCCAACTAACTGTTGGGGAATAGGACCGAAGTCTCGTACCGGCGGCTAAGGGGATGAATATAGATGAGAATAATTATGACTTCTTTTTTTTTTGGGATGAAATCAAAAGTAAAGCAAGGTATTTGGATAGTCCTCTTTCAGCCTAACGTTACTCGTCTTACTTCTTTATGATCACCTAGGAACTCAAATATTAAGCTAGACAGAAGTCCTTTCGTTCACAACTAATACGAAATAGGAAGATCTAACAGGCTCGACCAGCATTTGAGTTATCATACCATTGTAGAGATACTTGATATATATGGATTGTTGTTTAAGTAGTATTAGAGTTATGTTCTAGACTTAGCCATGTTGGTAGAATCTTCGGGTGTCAAAAATAGAAATAGTGAGCATTGAAATATGGTAGTCATTGTATGATCCGTGGTTGAATTCTATCGAACAGGTGATGTGCTCTGAAAAAGAAAGAGAGTTTTGGACTGATTGATGACCATTTGAAGGGGCTTTGTGTTACTTTGTTCTCGAGGGAAAGATTATTGGAAATGCAACTAAAGTCCCACATTGGCTAATAAAGTAACATCATTATATAGATTAAGACAATTATCTAGGTAAGATATTTTGAATGAAATCAAAAGTAAAATTGTGCCGGTTATATCCAAAACTAGAAATATCACACTATTGTAGAGATATCTGGATACATGAGTACCTATTTTTCTTAATACCACCAACCTTGTTTTATGATAGATTAAAAAGTATTTTCGTAATTTTTATCAAACTTTCTAGCATATGTAACCACTTCTACTATCCTGTCAACATTGTCATGAAATTTTCAAATTTCTTATAAAAACGTCATATTTCGAATCATTCTATTTTTTGTTTTTAATGAAAAAAATTTACTGAATGGTTAACAATGTTTTAAATATCGATGTCGATGGAAATGTTGTTGTCTCAATTTCATGAAATTGTCAATGAAAATATTGATAGATATTTAACCAATAATCGTTTCACAATTTTTAAATGCGTTTAAAATAGTTAAAATTAATATCATGGCTATATTAATTATTAGTGAAATTTTGTTGATATTTTTTTTTTATATTTTGTTAGACCTTTTTTTTATAATATTATTGGAATGTTTAACTATGGACATGGAGAGGTTGATGGACACAGGGATATTTAATGTCAGGATGATTAGTAATGAATTAAAAATAAATAAATAAACAAAGAAATTATAAAAGTACTGGAAAAAGAAAAGTAAAACAACGAGTATTTACATACTCGCTTCCGATGGTCATCCTTTTTTTTTTTAATTATTATTTTAATAATTTATAATTATACATTTTATTTATTTTCAAATTTGAAGGAAAAGGAGCCAGATCTCCAGATCATGCGAGGCGAAGAGTTATTGAAATCCGAAGAAAAAAAGAAAAAATCGGATCGGCGATCGAATGTGAATTAATCGGTGAATCGAGCGCAGCCATGGATGGCGAGGCATGAGCGCCTGTAAGGATTGGCTCTCTTGCGCTTGGTGCAATCGTAATAAGACATTCCCCTGCCGCCGCAAGGGATGATGTTCTTCTTCAGCGCCGCGTAGCTCAGATACTTCCCCTTCTTAAGCATACTACGGCCGATCAGATTTCGCGGGCTCGTTTCTCCGAACAAGTCGCCGATGGGGGAGAAAACGGCGTCGTCGTTGTGGAACCTCCCCAGGCCGTGGATGCCGTCGTCGATGTAGCCGGCGGAGTGAGGCACCACCGCGGCGGCGAGGAGGAGGAGAATGAGGCAGAACTTCACCCCCATGCCGGAGCCGGTGCAGTCGCAGAGAAGGTGTTTGTGGAAATGCCTGAGAGGAAATTAATTTTATTTGTTTTAATTTCCCGGTCCGGTCTGGTCCGCCCCTTTTCCCTAKTGTTGCCGAGGAATAAGGAGGAGTTTATAAGGAGTGGAAGAGTCGAGATTGGTTGGATCTTGTTAGAAAAAAGTGGTCGCCAATTTCTTGCCCAACTGTCTCAACTGTGGGCCATTGTGGGACACCCATTTAGTGCCAAGTAATAACGAAAATGACTAAGCCAATCATTGGCATTGATATAATAGGAATATTTCCTCTATCAAGGAGGATTTCTGAAATACTTAAAATAGAGATGATCATAGAAAATGTGAGATAGACCGGTGTCAATTTTATTATCTCAATATATATAATTTTCTACATGTATTGATAAATATCTATAAAATCGATAAAATTTTCTCAGTATTTAATAAATTAGATAAAGTAAGAGATAATAAAAGGGATATCTCTAGTCGTAATAAATAAATAACCCCAATATATTACTAATTACAAAAATATATTTTTATAAATAAATACAAATAAATTATTTCTTTTATTAGAAAAGCTATTTCCTTTTTATTTTTATGGTCTGGCTAGTAAGTACCTAATCCATGAATCATGAAATTATTTATTTGATTTGAAAAGAGAAATGTTTTTAAAACAAAAAAATATAAACAATAAGAATCAAAATCATAGTGTGAAAAAGTGTGACAATTTAATTTGATGTCAACGAGATGTGCTTGGTCAAAGTTGTGCGAGTTGTGTAATAGCGAGGTGTTTGTATGAACCTTTGTGTCTGTTTTCTTATAAGTTTATTAGATGTTGTTCTAAAAAATTAGGTGTATCAAGTGTTAACCTGAGTACATATTTGAATGTATTGGTTGTGGCGAATATCTGATTTAGCAAAGAACAAATTTATAGTAAAGATCAAAATAATTATCTTTTGAAAGTTCAATGACTAAATAAATATTTTGAAAATTCAAGGGTCATGATCAACCTTTTGAGGGTTCATTATACTATAGGTCTAGTTTAGCCTCATTTTGTTCTTAAAACCTTTAAATTCGTTGTAATTTGATATTTGAGAATTTTATAACTATTTTAGTCTTAATTTTTTTTTGTTTTAAAAAAAACTTTCCTAAAACTTTTAACTACTTTAATGATTATCATTATTATGCTCTTAAAATATGTCCATGTCCGATCTCCGACTTACTATTAATTTTAGATATCATATTAGGTGAATGAGCCTTTGTTTTGGCTTTCTAATTTTCTAGTTTTCTTGCCCAACTAGGCTCAAGGACTGACATACATATTTTGAAAATCTAGAGTGAAAATAAAAATTTAAACATTTAGATTCTAATCAATCTGGCATGTCAAGGGCTATGTTGACATTTTTAATTATATAATTGTATTTTTTTAAAAATATTAAAGTTATTCAATATTAATTACTTTTAAAAAGTCTTATATTAATATGAATTCTACCTAATAACATACGAAAAATTAATATTTATAGTAATTAATATAAAAAACTTAAAATATTAAATTAATTTTAAGAAAATCTATTATATCAATAGAAAATATATTAGATTAACGTATAAATTATATGAATATTCGTAAAGACATTTTTGAAACATTAAGAACATTTTCGTTAATAAATCCTGTAAAACAAATTGGCATGGTGACATCTAAAATTTACAGGAATCTGAAGATACAGGGAAGATACAGGGAATGGTTTTACTTAATTTATCTCGATACGAGAGACTAATGAATCAATGACCCTGTCTCTAGAAGATGCCCTCAATTTAGATGGGTTAATAAATTAAGTTCTAATTAGGTGGATAGAGTAAATAACTTCAATAACCTATAATCCAATTAGCCAATATGAGATCGGAAGTTCGAATTTCCATTTCCCAAATTTATTGTTAAAAAAATTATTGTCAAATTAAATAATGGATAAATTGAAAAAGGGAAATACAACGAAAACAAATAAAATAATACGTATAATTCATATGAATTTATTGATTTTTTTTTTACAATAAAAAACGACGGGATAAACAGTTTTTCTTTTAGTTCAATAAATGCTTTTATCCACTAATTATGCTCGAATTTTATATAAATAAAATTCTTACACCGGCATAATCAAGTAGATAAAAAGCATTAATTAAGATGTGGGCCCCACTATAATAGTGAACTAAAATAAAATAAAATAAAAGTTTAATCGGTGAATCGAGCGCAGCCAGTGATGGCGAGGCAGGAGCGCCTGTAAGGATTGGCTTTCATGCGCTTGGCGCAATCGTAGTAAGACATGCCCCTGCCGCCGCAGGGGATTATGTTCTTCTTCAGCGCCGCGTAGCTCAGAAATTTGCCCCTTTGAAGCAAGTTTCGCGATTCTCCGGCCAAGATGCCGCCGGGGGCGAAATTAATGGCGTCGTCGTTGTAGAACCGCCCCAGCCCGGGGATCCCGTCGTTGATGAAGCCGGCGAAGTGGGGCACCGCCGCCGCCGCAAGGAGGAGGAGAATCAGGCAGAGCTTCGCCCCCATGTCTTGCAGAAAAGATGTTTGTTAAAATGACTGAGAGAAAATTATGTTTGTTTTAATTAAAGCTCTGCCCGTTCCTGCTGGAAAACGAGGAGGAGAATGAGTTTATAAAGAGAATTGATGGAGGATCCGTTGGATCTTCGGAGGAAAAATGGCCACAAAATCTCTGGCTCGCCGCATCGTTAGCCAAAAACGAGCTTCCAATTTGTAGCTGTCATTTTTCCTCTTCAAATAGGCCATGCTTCGTTGGAAGAGCCCTATTTTGCTGCGTGAATTTTTAATATTTGTTTTATTGGGAAGTGAAGTTTCGAAATATTTATTTTAATCGTAGGATTTATTATAAACATTGTTAAAATAAATATCCCAGCTTAAGCGTAAAAAACAAAATATATATATATATATATATATATATATATATATATATTAATGTCCCAAGTGTCATATTTGACCTATGCTCCAAATATCCTATTCAAGTCCGATTGTAACATTGTAAAAATTATCTATAAATAGTGACAATTTACGGTAACATTTGAGATGAGAAAAAAAATAGTGGAAAAATCAATGTTGAAATTTTAAGTAAAATTTGTATTTTAGTTTTATAATTCAATTTTATAGAGCTTGTCCAATCTTGTATTCTCTCATTTTTCCTCTACTTGTAGTATCTCGTTAAGCTCCTTAATTTTATTGTTGGATTTTTATAATGGATGTTTATTTAGCCGGTAAATTTTTCAAACATAACTAGTTTGTTCATTTACTTGAGCACGTTTGGTAGTAGATTTGAAAAATTGAATATCAATTTAAAAAATTGTTTGATAATATATTTGTAAACTAGTAATAGTTATCAACTAAATATTTAGTTCAGTCGAAAATATTTTTAATTAATTTATTAATATATATGTTATAACTTTTGTATATTTATTATTTTACAATATTATATACTTTATTATATATTATATTTTACATGTTTTAACATTAACAAAAATAAAATGAGTTTATAACACGATTATTTTGGTACCTTTATTCTTATCTCATTTATTTCTCTAAAAATTTTAGTATGACATTTCAGTCACTAAATTTTTTTAAAATATAGTCAAAGATTTGTATTAAATAATTGTCATTGTATCTAAACTTTGTGTTAAAATTTTACAAATAGAAATTAAATTGATCACTCTTTAACTATACACGATCAATATGAACATTTAAGAAATATATAAACTAAAGTTAATAAAAGTTCAAAATACCAAAATTAAAATAAATATTCTAACGGTATAAATATCAAAATAATATTTAAACGAGAATAATAATTACTCTCCCCGCTCCCGCCCCACTTGGGCTGTAGAGCGTAAAAATAGTTACTCCATCCCTTTCCCCACCTCCCACATGGCCACGTGGCTTGTTCATTTCACATGGAAATTGAAATAATCTTCGTGGCCCAAAATATCATGAGATCATATCACATATTGACTCATTTAGTTTTCTCAAGTTTATAGCCAAATTTTAGTTTTCTCAAGTTTGGCCAAGAATTTCATTTAGTCATTTGTCGCGGAAGATTTATCATCAATCACGTATCGACATCTAATACGACTAACAGTGATGAATAAGACAAACCGACATAAGTCTCATATATTGATCGTCTGTGATATCAAGTGAACCGAGTCCAAACCTCTACATCGAACGTCGAGTTATCAGTTGAACCAATCAAAAGACACTTCTGCAAAAATCTCATTCCAACACAATCCACGACAACACGTCATAATTCTTTAAGTCGTCAGAGAGCCAGACCTCCCACCTTACTTGTAGGTACACGAAACTATACTCTCTCAAGTATAGATCGGTCCACTACTGATTGCAGGTCTGCAACTTGCTAGCACATAAGCTCGTTTAAAGGGTCAATCATAGTTCAAGCCGAGCTTCACGAACTTGGTCAAAATCTTGATCAAACATATTCTTGAATTTCAAAATCTGATACTTCCATTCTTAATTTTTTTTTTCCTTTTTAAATAAACAGCACAGTTGGTACAATAATTAGTTTCGAGCTGTCTAGTGCGATTTTTATAACTCTGAAAGTTTTTTTTTTTTAAAAAAAAAATCCTTTAGCATAAATTCTTAGGCAATGCAAAAATGCGGTGAAGGCTTATCAAACATTAAATTTCATTCTTTTACATGCAAATATTTGTGCAACATGGGTAAATGTTAAAATTGCAAATATGATACATAGATCCGTCATCTATTTAATTTTTCCATTTTATGCATAAATTTCTTGCATTTTTGGGTTGCCTGAATTAGTTTCCACTCTTTTCATCCTTTAATTAACTAAAGTTTAAAGAGCTGAATTTCTTGACTAAAAATTCAAATCAAACAAAAATCCCCAAAATCAAATTGAGAGGCATTAGCTTGGAGTATATTCGAGAGTGATTTTGGCATGACTAAAATCAATCGAATTTGAGGTGTAATCTCTTTGTTTTTGTAGGTTTGGTCGAATTCCTTATTCAAAAAGTGCTAATTTGCTTACTATATTAGGTCAAATTCGCATTAGGAATTTTGTATTTCTAAAATAACTTTTGAAACCAAAATTCATAATTCAGAGTTACTTCAAACTAAACATTGAATCAATATTAATAAAAAATAAGATAAAACTCGAATTTAATGAACTTGATTTATATTAATGTAAAGTGTTAGAATCTCTAATATATAATATACTAACTTTGATTCGAGGGTTATGAATTTGTTCTCGAAACTACTTAAGCTTGTTAAAGGATCTTTGGGATCTTCGGCGCCTTTGAACTTGTTGAAGTTTTCGATTATGCAACTTGATGGAGTTCCCAACTTACAACTTTGACTAAGTATTCTACTTGTAGATTATCATAGTCTTCTATTATTCGAATCTTCTACTCTTCTTCTAATGTTTGTAGATATTCTGAATTTAAATCCCCATTACGAATACTCCAAATGAAGGTAACCTCCCCTCTCTTGCACGAGTTTTGAAATAATATGTTCTTAAAGAGATATCTTTCAAACCTATTTCTTAAAATTAGTGCATATTTAAAAATAAAAAAATATTTGAGCCCTCACCCATCCATAATCACTACCGTTAAAAGGGGAAATTTCTAATCCTTGGGTAGTATGGAGATTTCCCATTTTATGTGCGACATGTGTAAACTATTACAGGTCCATAGATCCTAAAAATTTTATGGACATTTTTCACTTTCTTCCCATCCCACTTTATTTTACTCTATTCTATTCCTTCAAACCAATAAAAATTTATATTTGGACAATTTTATATCTTCAAACTATATATCATATCTCTTCATCAAAAAAGTTGGAGAAATTTTCTTATTTTAAATTTTAATATGATATCAACATTACTTATTATATTTTATTGATTAATAGTTATATTTCCCATTTGCACATTTTATATTCTTTTTGATGAAATGTTGTCTATACAAACGAAGGTAGAGAAGAAGATATAAAATTAAAATTTGATCTGAAGGTACAGTAATGAAAAATAAAAAAATAAAAACTAGAAATCACATATAGTAATTAATGTGAGAGATATTGGATTCCCGCTGAATGCTGAAACTCGAAGTAAAACGACCAATTAGATTGCTTATTTCGACACGTGTACATAATTTCTTTTTCTTCTTTTTTTTTTTTCAAATGACGTGTACAGAATTTTCTAACATATGGATAGAAGATAAACAGAGAATTAAAGAAAAGAGTTTGGCTTTAAGTTCCATGGGGTGAATGGTGAATTAATCGGTGAATCGAGCGCAGCCATGGATGGCGAGGCATGAGCGCCTGTAAGGATTGGCTCTCTTGCGCTTGGTGCAGTCGTAATAAGACATTCCCCTGCCGCCGCAGGGGATGATGTTCTTCTTCAGCGCCGCGTAGCTCAGATACTTCCCCTTCTGAAGCATACTACGGCCAATCAGATTTCGCGGGCTGGTTTCTCCGAAAAGGTCGCCGGTGGGGGAGAAAACGGCGTCGTCGCTGAGGGTTGCGGAGTGAGATGCCACCGCCGCGGCGAGGATGAGGAGGAGAATCAGGCAGAGCTTCACCCCCATGTTCTTGCAGGAAAGGTGTTTGTGAAAATGCCTGAGAGGAAATTTAGTTGGAGTTTATAAGAAGAGAGAGTGGAGGATTGGTTGGATCTTGTGAGAAAAAAGAGGAGGGCAGGGCCAATTTCTGGTCCACCGCATGGGTAGCCAAATGGAATACCATTTTTTCTACCTTCTGTTCTTGGTGAAAATTATTTCTTTTTCATTTGGGTACAAATTTAGTACTTTTCAGTTTTCACCACTAATTTTGGGAATTTATTTAAGATATATTATAATTGTTTGGACTAAATTTAGACATTTGAAAATATGGGCTGTCATGGAAGTGGCAAAAATAAAAGAAAATAATGGGAATATGTAAAAGTAGCAATTTGTTTTCAATTTTGTAAAATAGCAAATCTAGCGGCTCAACCCACGAAAGTAAAAGTCTATTGAATACGGAGCCTGAACAACGATGTAATTGATGTGATATACAATTTATATACCATTGATATACTCTTATGCTAAGGGGTATTGTTATATGGGTGGTGGTGTTTATTAGATCCATACATGGTAAGGATTGACATATTAAGAGTTCTTTCTTAATTGTATGGTTGTTAGTTCGAAAATACGAATCTAAAACTCATTAAATTTTTTGAAATATTTAGAAATTGCATCGCGGCAATAATTAAAATAGATATTTTTAAAGTACCTAAACTAAAATCAATAAAAGTTGAAAAAAAAAAATTACCGTCCCTTCACCCACTCTCGCCCCCACATGGCTTGTAGGTCTTAAAAATTGTCCCTCCATCCCTTCCCCCACCTCCCACATGGCTTGCACACACATTTTAATCTGGAGATTGAGATAATCTCTCCATTTGACCTGAGGTTTGACCTGAGGCTGGCCCATGATATAAGATGTATATGTCAATTATTGCTTAATTATAACTTTCTTTGTTTCTTTAGCCAATAATTTCATTTAGACTTTGATACCCCTTGTTAGCCAAACAAGATCAATAGGAAGGAGGTGAGGTTGTAAATTAGTTTTGTTTAATTCTAACGTCACTAACAAATACATTCTTATTTTTGTTTAAATCGATTTTATCTATTTGTCAAACATCATCAAATAATTATAGATATCTTATTTAAAATAATAAATTATTTCAAATAATAAATTTAAAATTCAAATATAAAAATATTTTAAATAATATTTCCTTAAAAGAAAGGAACAATAGGTACAATAACCTCTGTTTGAATTGTTATTTGAATTTATAATTATTCATTACAGGTAAATATGCAATATGGGCAAATGAACATAAATAATTTCGATCATTGCAAGCACATATAATGAAATAACTTATATAAAATTAAAAGTAATTAAATTTTATTTTATGCCAAAATCACTTATTTTAACGAAACATGTCCATAGTCGCCATTGTGTCGATAAAAGATGTTAAAATCAGGGCGAAAACGGGGAAGAAAAAGGTTGGCATGGATGAATGTTGAATCAATCGGTGAATCGAGCGCAGCCATGGATGGCGAGGCAGGAGCGTCTGTAAGGATTGGCTCTCTTGCGCTTGGTGCAGTCGTAGTAAGACATGCCCCTGCCGCCGCAAGGGATGATGTTCTTCTTCAGCGCCGCGTAGCTCAGATACTTCCCCTTCTGAAGCAAATCACGACCCAGCAGGTTTCGTGGGCTCAATTCTCCGAACAAGTCGCCGCCGGGGGAGAAAACGACTTCGTTGCTGTGGCTTGCGGATTGCGGCACCACCGCCGCGGCGAGGAGGAGGAGAACCAGGCAGAGCTTCACCCCCATGTTTTTGCACGAAAGGTGTTTGTGAAAATGGCTGAGAGAAAATTTAATTTGTTTTTTAACTTTTGATCTCCGGCTCAGCCCGTTTTCCCCCTCGGAGATGAAGATGGATGAGTTTATAAAAAGAGGGAGCGGAGGATTCGTTGGATCTTGTGAGAAAAAGGAGGCCGCCAAGTTTCTGGTTCGCCGCATGCCCCTCAACTGCCATTTGCCTTTGATGGAAGCACCATTCTGATTCTTAATTGGTAAATTAGTTACAGAATTGCTTTCACCATTAATTTGGGGAATATCTTTAACTAAATATAGGGCGCTTGCAAAAGTAGCAAAGAAATTAATGAGAATTTATAAAGAAGTAAAAGTCTAATATATCTTTAATGCACTCGGCTAAAATATAGAGCGACATACTAATGATATAAATTATACTTCTATTTACTGTGTCAGTTTCTCTTATTAAATTGGGTTGTGTTATATATAAATTTGTTCTCTTGTAACGGGAATGTATGGCTTCTATAACCTTATATAAATATTAATATCTATTGATATGTCTGATTTCTTATATTACTGAAGGAATCAATAAAATTGTTATATTCGATAATAAATGCTCATATACTAATTATATCTATAAAAAAAAGATGTATATACTACTTATATACTTTATATCTATGATAACATACCTAATTATCAAAGCGAGCATAGACATATATCTCCAATCAAGAGATTGTGAGTTCAATTCTCTCCGTCACATGCTGTGTACTAAAAAAAAGAAACAATAACATACCTAATTTGATATACTTTGATATATATGAAAATCTTGAATGTTAAAATCAAAATTACTTAAATATTTTATCATATTTACAAAATCCAAAGACTATATTTTGTATGAGAAATATTTGAGGGTACTTTTACAATTGTTTTTTGAATTTGTTTTTTTGAAAAGAATTATATTTTGATGTTTGAACTTTTTAGGTTTTTTTTTGGATGGAGAGTTTTTGACCTTTTTAAAATATATTTCTAAGAAAATAATATTCTCATCCTTTGTTCCATTTTAAACTTTAAAAGTTCATAAGTAAATAAATCAAGTTGAAAATATAGAGATCAAATAAACCTTTTAAAAAGTGCTATAACGAGACGTGATCGTGTGATGGAGTTCACACATAATTGAGAGGGATTAGAGATAATGTTGTTTAGATGCTGGCACAGAAAAAGCGTATCAAAACACTTCAATTATGAGCAAATGTCGTTCAGTGGTATCAATTCTCTTTACAAATGTATGATGCAGGATGTACTGAATACAGTTTCAAATGTTTGAACACGGTCAGCAGCTCCGATCAACTCATGTTTACTATCGAACCGATCCGTTTGTCCATTTGAAACCAAGTTACAGAGGTCAAGGAGATGCAAAAGCTCCAAGCTAGATGCGTTGTATTCTCAAGCCAATTTTCAAGTTCAAACTTATTTGTCATGACACAAGGAGGGCACTAAATTAAATGGTTTCGAGGAACTGACTGAAACTCGGGTACTTCGGCTCCCAGCCTACTTCTGCTCGAGTTTTCGAGTTGTTCAATCTCTTTCCTAAAGGATCCTTGGTTCCTGAAAATACATGTCATTCGTCTACATGAGTAACCACGGTTATCAGAACATCAGAAGATGAGGTGCAGAAACTGAAGCAAAGGAAGGGTAAATAATAAGGCATAAAATAACTAGTCCTTTTCTCTAAGGTATTTATATGAATAACATAAAATAGATATTTATTTTAATACAACATAAAGTTTTAAATAATATAAAAGTAACACAATCCAAATTAAAATTAAACTCTAAATGTAATGTAAAACGGATTCAAAAAAGTTACACTTAGGAGCCATTTGGTTTAAGGTTTTAAAAGATATAATAGATAACCAATGCCAGAGAGTAAGATAGATGAGAATAATATTTCTCAAAATCAATATTTGGTTATGCAATAACAATACTATCAGACTTTAATTAAGGCTATATAAAAACACATATTTTTGTAAGGGTATAATATGGATAAACGTGATGTCTGAGAATAAACCATTCTCATGCCCAGCCCCTCGTACCTAACATTTTATACATAAACATTATTTATCCAATGAAAATCTAATAATATTTTTCTATGCAACCAAAGTTATCACGGATTTCCAGTAATCCTATTCTCATGAATATTAAACTAAACATCCAACCAAACCGGCCTTTATATTGGAAGAAAATAAGACGCTGTGACATTTTTTACAATCGTATTAAATTAATGGAGTGAAATTTCACCTTTTTTTCTTCTTCTGAGACATGTGCTTTGATACCCAATAAAAGGAGGGGGGAAGAAACCGAAAAAGAAAGGCTTACCAGTAAAACCTTCGAACTTTTTACTGAATTTCCCACTCTTCATCACCATGTTCATGATTTCTTGCCTGGGATCATGAGACAGTGCTAATCAAAATTCTGTGCTTTTAAGTCTAAAGTTTTTTCAAGTAACAGGGATGTTTATCTTCATCTAACAGTAGAAGAAGGATTAACCTGGATAAAGGATGATTATCACAACCTAAGAAAATCCGTCCACGAAGATTTTTCTTAAGAATCGCCACCGAGAGGGAAGCAGCATCCTGCTCAATAAATGCACAAGTTCATTAGGAAGGATTGAAACAAAATTAAAATGGCCAAAAGGAATGAGAACCAATGCGGTTAGTGAGATAAATGACTAGTCCAATAATTAATCAGTTACTTGGTCTGGTTTAAATAAGGAATGGACGAACAATCTTAGGTGAATCAAATTGACCAACAATGTATGATACATATTACACACCAAAGTTATGTACAATAAATTGTTCAGATCATATATTGTAAAAGTGGCATGGTGCAAAAATTTCCTATTAGCACATGAATGTTCATTATGGTTAAAGATTCACAAATAATGCAAGCTTCTGTGCCAAAGCGAGCATAGCTTAGCGGTTATTGGCATATACCTCCAACTAAGAGGTTGTGAGTTCGAATCCCTTCCCCAACGTGTTATTACCCAAAATAATAATAATAATAATAATGCAAGCTTCTGTTGAATAGTAGGGAGGAGATAACTCGTTATGGGGCAAGGTACGACACATTTGTAACACTGAAGCTCAAACAATAGTATTGAATTGAATCTAATCGTATATGCAGATGGAACCAAGAGAAGTAGCTAAGTAATAGTTCAAAAGACAATCAAACTTCCGTATGCAACAAATTGAGGGAATGAAAACTCTATATATCATCCTATGTCTATACAGCAGACTAGTTACAAATAAAATGACCATTTCCAGACCTCGTAATGAATAAGATTCAGGATGTGATCGGGACGAATATCAACCGTCCCCTTCTCTAACCAATAAGAATGTGCCCCTCTATCTGCTTTGTAAAGTCCAGCTAATCGAAGTACACAACCACCAAGCTCCGTTACTATCTTTTCTGATTTTAGGAGAACATCAGTCCTAGGGCTCCTCCCCACCGGCACAACTGGACTATCCTGTATTCATGAATAAAAATAAGATCTGAGATACAATAGCTCCCCGTTTTAACAATACAATTTGATGGGAGAAGTTAAAAACTTCTGTAGAACATCATTCCAGTATAAAAGAAAGTCCGCTAGCAGCAAATCTGTGTTGGTTGTAAAGATAAGTGATACCCACCTCATCACATGATCCATTGTCATTGCAATCATATGGTGCAGAACTTGAAGTAAAAAGAAAGGAGCCCTCTCCATTCCAACTTGATGCAGCCAGCCTGATAGATCAAGCAGCCAAAAAGCTTTCAGGATAAACATAAAGTAGATCAACAGAAAGGCTTTTGGGAAGTACAAGCAGAAGTTATGTCTCTGATTCACCATGTTTCAAGCACAGGCATCGGCTACCCGTAGTAAAGCGAAATTAAATAAAAGGATCCCCGAAACAGCATAAATTTCATATTCAGAAAACTTAGAGCTCGCATGGTGAATCAGTTAGAGAAAATTTTCTTTGCGACCTCTTCACGAACACTGAGTCCTTAGTACAGTAGCTAAATGAAAACAACCAGAAAAATGAATAGTCCTACAATAGCCATATATGTAGGCTTAGTGCATTCTGCTTTAACCAACTGAACTGACTCTCATTAAAAGAAAAGCAAACGAGACCAATTCAGCTCAACTGCTATTAACAAACTAAATTAACAGAAGTAATGTGCTATCTTAACGATTAGCTAAGAATACAGTTAGAATTCTCCCTACAAGAAGATAAGAGGAAACATAAAATTTGAAAGACAACAAATTGAATATGAACCGGTATAATAAATATCATTCATGTCATATATTTTCCACGAATTACATAATCACCTGACATCGCCGGGATAGTCCGAGGTTCGCGAGGGAGGAGCGCAGAAAATGACATAAGGAAAACTCCGAGTCGCATCGCCTCCCTTCAAAGACGGCTGAATCCCTATTTGGATCAACTCGTCGTGGTGATCCGCCGTGACGGTCTGCCCATGAACTTCGCATCCCGGATGTTCCTGCTCAACACATACGAGCACAAATTCCTATTAATATAGGTTCGACCATTCTGCTGCGTATTACTTGTACAGTAAGAATGTAACAGAGAATCAAATAAGCTAAAATCCACCAGTTTTCCACTGATTTTATCGGTAATAGTACCTCCCGCCATTTTTGCGCCACCAACCGGCCAAGAACCCCGGGTCCGACTATAAGCAAATCATGCGCTCCGGTCGACCCTGACGAGGAAGTCTCCAATCTCTCCTTGGACGCACCTTCACCGCAAAACTAAGGATCAGACACAATGTTCATAAACGTGGAGTAGAAATACCTGTTCAATTGCAGAGACGGACCAATGGCCGACGATGCAGAAACTTGAAGAGGAGCAGCCATTGTAGGGGCTCCGGCAGTGTAATTGAGGCGTCTGATGTACAAATTAGAGCGTCTGGAACTGAGCTGCTCGAAGGAGTAGCAGCAAGCGAGCATCGATCTGGAGAATCGGGCAAGAATAGTGTAAGGTCCGCCCGAAGAGAAGCAGGTAATGGGTTCCATAGAAATCAGGCTCGCAGCTCGATGTTGAAGATAATTGCAGTGCCCTCCAGCCTGTTACGGTTATTTAGGTATTGAAAAACGTAACGGGTAGTTTTTTTGTTTTTAGATAAAATTAAATTCGTTAATTTTATTTTTTCCTGATAAATGAAATTCGTTAATTAGATAGCATGTCATTTGGACTACATTTGGACAAACTTCTTATGGTTTCTTACCAAAGTCATATGTGAGTACTTGAGACAACCAACGCACATTCATATGTGAATAAATTGCTTTACAAGTTAGGTTATGAGCTCTAGAGTTAGCTTTTTTGTAGCATGTTTGAACACCGCTTCTCCAATAAAATAAATACTACAAATATCTTTGATCCATGTTCCATCTTTATTGATATCTTAAATTTCTTATGAGATCATGTTGATTGCAGTGATAGAATCAAATTCGAAGATTGAGTCGATTTGTAAGCTTGATTCCTTCCACTTGTGTTATGATTTCCACATGAAGGGGAGGACAAGCAACCGATAAACTTTTTATCTTCACTAACAACATCTTTCAGATAATGGCTAAAGATCTCTATATCCGTTATGTTTATTGTTGACCGACAAGCTACGTCAACATTTATTTTGAATCACCCCTAACATGAATGTTTCCATCAACTGCTAGTTTATATTGTACATCATATGTATGGGAGATAAATAAACAATTGTATTTTTATTTGGTTAAAAATATGAAAAAATGTATGTTTGAATTTTGTTTTCGTTTAAAAATACTTCTATCATTTCAAAAGATTCAATACTACTATTTAAACATTTAAACATTTGTTTCAAAAAATAATTTTTGTATAAACATCAATTATTATTTTAAATGAAAAAATTGATGTATTCAAATTTGGAACAACGTAGTTATTAATGGAAGCTTACTCGTAACAACTTGAACTTTAATGATGGTAAAAAAGTAATCGCTAAAAACAAGGACGAACCAATAATTGACCATGTTAAAGGTTAACTTTATTGTAACGTCAGTGACAAGATTCAATTAAATTGTTACGTTGTTTCAAAATTTGCCACGTCAACTTTCATTCTAATATCAATAAATGTTTGATCAAAGAGTATTTTTTGAGATATTTATAATAGGTGAAGAGTAGTATTGAAACTTTTGACAAGAGTTGAAACATTCGGTAAAATAAGTAGTATTTTTATTAGAATTTAGCAAAAATATTTTTACATATGGGGTGATTTTGAGAATCATGTAATATAGAAGGGCACTTATGAAAATCTCACCAATCCCAATAGACGAGGTGGGCCAGGCATGTTAGGTCCACTAAAAGGTCCAATAAAAAGCCCAACCCAGCAATAGGCGGGAACTCGTAATTCCTTTTTATTGGCGGGAAAATTATCGTTCCACGTAACAAACGTTCCGGTCCGCACATCTCCGTTGATTTCAATCGAACGGTTATAAAAGATCCTTGTTCTAGATTTCTCGTTTTATTTGGGCAGTGGCTTGAGAATTAAGGAGTCGGTTCACTTCTCTTTCACAGAGACTCTTTTTCGAAACCCCACCGGCGTCTGAGAAAAAGCTATGGCGAAACCCTTGAAGCGACAAGCGTCTTCCGATGATGCCACGTCCAATGGCTCGAGCTCGTCGGAGGAAGAGGAACAAACTAACGAGCAGATCAATGAGGAGGAAGACGAGGAGGAGCTCGAAGCGGTGGCTCGCTCGGCAGCCTCCGACGAGGATGAAGCTGTCGACGATTCAGATAACGATTCATCGCCCGTCGAGAATGGCGAGGAAGAGGTAAATTTCGAATTGCGTTCCCCAACGTATGGTCTTCAGTTTTGTTAATTTTACTCGGATCTCGGTAGGGTTTTTATTTTAAAATTTCCTGTTCATTTTCTTGGTTCTTTCATACTAAGGTTAGATTGACTGGGTTTTGATCAATTTTTATTGGTCACTTTGCACAATCAAAATTCGAGCAAAGAGACGACTGGAGACTTGAGCATATGGTGGTGTGGCTTAAGTTTTGTCTCGTGCTTGTATTTCCGAAACTGTAACGTTTTTCTCAACGCCATACGTTTTTGTTACTTTTACCGACAGGATGGAAGTAATGAGGGTAATGATGATAAAGCCGAGATTAGTAGGCGCGAAAAGGCCAGACTAAGAGAAATGCAACAAATGAAGAAGCAGAAGATTCAGGACATGTTGGATGCGCAGAATGCTGCAATTGATGCTGATATGGTTTGTTGAATCATTGGGTATACTCAAATTTGATATATTACTAGTCTGCTGAGATATCAGATAAATAACAGTTAGTTAATGTTATCTAATGGCAGAATAATAAAGGGAAGGGGCGCTTGAAATATCTTCTGCAACAAACTGAGATATTTGCTCATTTTGCAAAAGGCGATCAATCTTCTTCCCAGAAGAAAACAAAGGGAAGGTATGAATTATCAGTTGAGAAGCCTTATTAATGCTGATTTGCTAGTAATAAATAACTAAGGTAGCTAACTGATAGATATTATTATTATTATAATTATTATCTTGTAAAAAGGAAATTACATATATTTTTTTTTGGCGACTATTGCTGATACATGCACCTCATCTTGAAATTCTGCAACTGTTTTTTAACCAAGGGAACTTCAATTTTGCTATAAATATCACTGTTATTTAGCATGTTTACAGATTTGATCATTTGCTCTTCTGAATCTTAGGGATCTATGGGCATTAATGTTGTATTGGAATATGTGCTATTTGGGCATGAAGGTGACAGTGTTTCCTTCTGTTTTGTGCATAAGCACGTTTTGCATTGTCAAATTGATTATAAAGTACTTGGAAATGAATAAGCACTTAAGTTTGTTATATTTGTAGGCTTTCTGTCTAAACTAATAGGTGACATTTCATTTTATTGACAATTAATGAGATAATTTTCAGCATGTTAAGTTATAGCTATTTCTTTGCTAATAATTCAGGGGTCGCCATGCATCTAAACTAACTGAAGAAGAAGAAGATGAAGAATACCTTAAAGAGGAAGAAGATGGTCTATCTGGGACGGGGAACACTCGTCTTGTTTCACAACCATCCTGTTAGTTTTCCCTATTTAGTTTTTAGTTTTTTTGTTTTTTTGTTTTGGTTTTTATTTATTCCTTGCATCTAACATTTGCTTCAAAGTTTTGCACATTCTTTTTTTAATTATTGGGGTTAATGTTTTATTGCAGGTATCCAGGGGAAAATGAGGGATTATCAACTAGCTGGATTAAATTGGCTTATTCGACTGTATGAGAATGGCATAAATGGAATCCTTGCAGATGAGATGGTAATTATAATAAATCTGCAAGTATATATATTTATTGTTGACGTTTAAGATCTCTTACAAGTTACGAGAAGTATAGTTCATAGTCAGTTTGCTAATATAAATGGCGCTTTTCCATTAGGGGCTCGGCAAGACGTTACAAACCATTTCCTTGTTGGGATATCTCCATGAGTATAGAGGCATAATGGGCCCCCATATGGTAGTTGCACCAAAATCTACTCTGGGAAACTGGATGAATGAAATTCGCCGTTTTTGCCCTGTCTTGCGTGCTGTGAAGTTTCTTGGAAATCCAGACGAAAGGGTATTCTTTTCCCATTCCTCTAAATATGTCAATTTTAGCGTCATTGGATGTGCAGAAGGTTAATTAATTTTTTAATATTGCACTTTTTGCAGAGGGATATACGAGAAAATTTATTGGTTGCAGGGAAGTTTGATGTATGTGTTACCAGTTTCGAAATGGCCATCAAGGAGAAGTCTTGCTTGCGTCGTTTTAGTTGGCGCTACATTATTATTGATGAAGCTCATCGAATTAAGAATGAGAATTCCCTCCTTTCAAAAACAATGAGGCTTTACAATACCAACTATCGTCTTCTAATCACTGGTACACCGCTTCAGGTATATATGAGTTTTACCACTGTGGAACTGTGCTGCCTGTTTTGTGTATAATCTGTATAATTTTATATTCTAAGGTCATATGTTGTGTATTACCTTGTTATATATCTAAGTCATTTCAGTTGGGTTTTTATAATAACTGCTGCATGGATTTTTTCTTTGGAAGATAGGTTTCATGGTTCCGATTTGTTTTTTGAGTTTCTTTTATTGAGCTCTATTTATGTGCAGTAACAATAAAGTTATTTATTATCTCTTTCAGAACAATCTTCATGAACTATGGTCTCTCCTCAATTTCCTTTTGCCTGAAATATTCAGTTCAGCTGAGACTTTTGATGAATGGTTTCAAATTTCTGGGGACAATGATCAGCAGGAGGTTGTTCAGCAACTTCACAAGGTACACCTAAATATTTTTTGTCCATGCATCCATAGTATAATATTTTAATGTCTTCTATCTCATATTATTTTTCCTCTCCTATCTGCACCCTTTAGGTCCTTCGGCCCTTTCTTCTCCGAAGGTTGAAATCAGATGTTGAGAAAGGCCTACCTCCTAAAAAAGAAACAATACTCAAAGTAGGCATGTCACAGATGCAAAAACAATACTATCGTGCTTTGTTGCAGAAGGATCTTGAAGTTGTTAATGCTGGTGGGGAACGTAAACGGCTTCTTAATATTGCAATGCAGCTCCGGAAATGCTGTAATCACCCGTATTTGTTTCAAGGTGCCGAACCTGGGCCTCCTTACACCACTGGGGACCATCTTATTACAAGTGCTGGTAAGGTTTGTGTAAGGGCATGCTAATGATTGCGTTTTAGCCATCCGTTAATACTGAGAAAATTTCATTCATAGGTAAAATGGTTCTTTTGGATAAGTTGCTTCCAAAGCTGAAAGAGCGTGATTCTAGAGTCCTAATATTTTCACAGGTAATTTTTTTTTTGTAAGCATTTGATTGTCACGAGTACATATATTTTCCATGAACAGAGTTGCTTTATCATGGTGGATTTACTGTTTATTTTATTTTTTTATTTTGGCTAAGTTTTGCATTCGCTTGAATTTCAGATGACTAGGCTGTTGGACATTCTTGAAGATTATTTAATGTTTCGTGGATACTATTACTGTCGAATTGATGGCAACACTGGTGGTGAAGATCGTGATGCATCCATTGATGCTTTCAACAAGCCAGGAAGTGAGAAATTTGTTTTCTTACTATCAACCCGAGCTGGAGGCCTTGGTATTAATCTTGCTACTGCAGATGTAGTTATTCTTTATGACAGTGACTGGTACATCTCCTTTCCTTGATCAAAGTTATTGCTGCCACTAATGTTGCTCCCTCAATATGCTCTGATGCTCAACGGTTATTTCAGGAACCCTCAAGTTGATCTGCAAGCCCAGGATCGTGCTCACAGGATTGGTCAGAAGAAGGAAGTTCAAGTGTTCCGATTCTGCACTGAGGTAAACAAATCAACTTCTATCATAGAGAGTTTGAACTTACTGTAGAGTTAATTGTAATTTATTCTTTAATGGAGCAGTATACCATTGAGGAAAAGGTGATTGAGAGGGCTTACAAGAAACTTGCCCTTGATGCTTTGGTGATCCAACAAGGACGATTAGCAGAACAGAAAAGTAAGTTGTTATTTTCATGCTTGCGTCTTAGCATGCATCCATGCATCATTGAATGATGAATATATGGTTATTACACGGCCAATATATATATTTTTTAACATGCATCATTAATGTCTAATTTATCCATGTTATTCTAACAGCTGTCAACAAGGATGAGCTACTTCAAATGGTGAGGTTTGGTGCTGAGATGGTTTTTAGTTCCAAAGATAGCACAATCACAGATGAAGACATTGACAGAATCATTGCAAAAGGAGAAGCAGCAACAGCAGAGCTTGATGCAAAGATGAAGAAATTTACAGAAGATGCAATTAAATTTAAAATGGACGAAAGTGTGTAACTTCCTGACACAGATTATTAGCATCTTTCTTTTTGTAATTTTCTGATCTCTTCAACCAAACATTAGTGTAGTTAGTTCTAACTAACGTTACTGTGGTTTTTGCAGCTGCTGAATTGTATGACTTTGATGATGAAAAGGTAAATACGGTTATATAATATTCTTTTAATTCACTTTGACATTTTTTTAAATATTATTCTTATATTTGTTATCCAAGGCTTATGAAAGGAAATATTCTCACTGTTTACTTGTATCTTGATGAAGGATGAGAATAAATTTGACTTCAAGAAAATTGTTAGTGAAAATTGGATTGAACCACCTAAAAGGGAGCGGAAGCGCAAGTAATGACTTGGATGTCCTTTCCTCTTTTTCTACATGAACTTACTTAATTGTACAATTTTTGAAAGCCTGACTTGATTTCTATCTCCTATAAGTTACTCGGAATCAGAATACTTTAAGCAAACAATGCGACAAGGTGGTCCAACAAAGCCGAAAGAGCCTAGGATACCTCGCATGCCTCAGTTGTAAGGCCCTTGAATTGGTTAATTTATCTTGGAGTTCTAGTTTATTTCTTATTAGTATATACTTCTATTTGTTCATTTATGCCGTTTGCATGGCTATATTATACTTCTATTTACAGGCATGATTTCCAGTTTTTTAACACACAAAGGTTGAGTGAACTCTATGAAAAAGAAGTTCGGTATCTCATGGTGAGTGTAAGCTCCTTAAGCGTTCCTGTCTGTTTTCTACATTAAATTCTTTGGTTTATTATTCAGCATTTTCAGTTGCTTGATTTTTACATTTATCATTGGCTTGAATGGCTCAGCAAACACATCAAAAGAATCAGTTGAAAGACACAATAGATGTCGAGGAACCTGAAGGTATGTTACTAATACTCATGTTTCATGCTCATATTTCCTTCAATTTTCCTTCTATCTTGCAGCTAATCTTTGAAATGATGTTTAGAAGTGGGTGATCCATTGACTGCCGAAGAGCTGGAAGAGAAGGAGCGACTTCTAGAGGAAGTAAGTGGATCTAATTTTTAGAGGTTTATCTTATGATCACGCTACTGAACTTGATTTTTTCTTTTAGGGATTTTCTTCATGGAGTCGCAGAGATTTCAATACCTTTATTAGGGCTTGTGAGAAGTATGGGCGTAATGACATAAAAAGTATCGCTTCAGAGATGGAAGGCAAAACAGAGGAAGAAGTTGAGAGATATGCGAAGGTCTTTAAGGAGAGATACAAAGAGTTAAATGGTAAGTGGCCATCTTTGTGATAACGCATCTTTGTTAATGTGATGGAAAATTGTTTGTTCTTGAGGGTTATTTCATTAGGAAATAGGAACCAGAAAATATATTGTACTTTCTTCTGAGCTTTAGCTTTAGATATCTTATCCTTCTGCTTGTAACTTTGCTCCACCAATGCCATCTCTTGCATAAAAATGGATAGAATGGGCTTCATGGTTTCAAACTTTCAAAGCTTTGTTTGTTGTTGCTTCTGAACCATTTTAGTTGTTTTTCTTATAATTTTAACAAGCTGCAGGTGTTTTTCAAATCTGATGGAAATGATACAACTATCACGTTCTTGATAAGTAGAATTTCATGACTTGGCTAGGGAAATGATACAACTATTTTTGAGAAAGTCCAACTATATCAACAAATACTCATGCCTCTTAGTTAATGCTACAGCCAGATTATTTTTACCCAGCCAAATAGATATTTAAATAGCTATATCCATATAAATTGGCCTTTGACCAGCTTGTTTTTTGTTATGGCTTATTGGTAGTCTTAGTTATTTTCATTGTTGATGCGTTGTTAATAAGCTTTCTGAAGGCTGAGTTGGATTTTCGTGTTCGTTTGGTTATTTCTCACGAGATAAAACAATTTTTGTTTTTGTTTTTTGTAGGTTATAGTCTAGTAAGTCTACTATCTGATAAGTTTCTAAGCATCACTTTATATGAAATTTGCAGATTATGATAGAATCATCAAAAACATAGAAAGAGGGGAAGCAAGAATTTCTCGTAAAGATGAAATAATGAAAGCCATTGGCAAGAAACTGGATCGCTACAAAAATCCATGGCTGGAGCTTAAGATCCAGTATGGCCAGAATAAAGGGAAATTGTACAATGAAGAATGCGATCGGTTCATGGTGTGTATTGGCATGTTCTGAGTTTAGATCGTCTGAAATTTATTAGTATGTTCTTCTGGATGTTGAAAATCTTAGTTGGTATCTTCTAAATGATCAACAGATATGCATGGTTCACAAACTTGGTTATGGAAACTGGGATGAATTGAAGGCAGCGTTTCGTACATCACCCTTGTTTCGCTTTGATTGGTTTATCAAGTCTCGAACGACACAAGAACTGGCAAGGAGATGCGATACCTTAATCCGGTTAGTGGAGAAGGAAAACCAAGAATACGATGAAAGGGAGAGACAGGCTCGCAAAGAAAAGAAGCTTGCAAAGGTCAACATTTTGATTCACAATTTCAAAGTGCGATAGTTTGTATTCTACGATTGTCTCTATATAATGTTTGTTGAACTTTTACTCTATTTTGTTTCAGAGTATGACACCATCAAAACGTAGCTTGGCTAGGCAGACTGAGAGCCCAACTAACATAAAGAAGCGGAAACAATTATCAATGGACGATTACGTAAACTCTGTAAGTTTTGTAGTCATCGTTTCAAATCATTGCTCACTTTCACCTTATTGTTATCTAATATTTCCAACTAAACTGATCTATTTGCAGGGAAAGCGGAGGAAGTAACTGTTTTTTTTTTATGTTCTTTTCGACCCGTAAGATCCATTATTGACTTTTTTGTTGAGGGAGAACTCTCTGCCATATCTTAGATCCCCCCCAACTCATATTTTTGGGATTGCCTTCTGGGAGTTCAGTAGATCCGTAGGTTTAACTCGAAACTCATGTATAAAATTATTAGATATAACAAAATCTTGTTCTCCTGACAATATCTTGTATGCCATAGTTGATTTTTAGTTCCAAAATATATTCTGCTTGGCAGATGTGATGCAGTGCATCAAGCTCGATCCATTCAGCCTCCACTCTAATCCGTCTGAAAGCACTATCTTCTCAGATCAGAAGCTGTGTAAGTAATGTCTCTACCTTTATTTTTTTCCCTCTTAAACATTGTTTCCTAGTTAAAGATTTTCTTTGGGCTGATAACGAATTTCTTCATTCTCATTGTTTAAAACTATTCCTGATTCTTGTAGCTTAGCTTAAACCTAACCGCCCCTCATTGCTATTGAACTGGGTCTTTGTCCCAATGCATGTATTTTATCTATTCTTAGTAAAATGTTTGAAATGCGTCTCATACTTGTCATTTTTATGGTGGTAAGTAAGAAATACCCATTTACGAGTAAAGAAGATAAGTTTATCAGTGCTTAGTGGAAGATAGGTATCTTCTTACTTACTACTGTTAAAAAATCGACAGTTATTTATTCTATTCTTTTTTCTTAAGCAGATACCCTCTTGGTTGTCGTTTTTTAAGAGCCACATAGCTACCCTTCAGTATAATAAAACTTGTTTTTATTTTATTTTATTTATTTTGTTATTTATCCCATAAATTTAGATTGCTTCTAAAAGCTGTGTTAGAAGCCCTCATCTCCATGTACAAGAAAAGAGAAACATCAAGCATTTCCAGGTATTGAAAATTTATCCCAAACATACGTCTACTTATATTTTTGTTAACATCGAGATAATTTTATCTCCAGTTTTGTTTTCAAAAATTATGTTCTTTTTTTCTTTACTTAGTATGTTTTTCACCTTTGAAACACATTTTGAATTACCCAAATTTTAAAAACAAGAACAAGGTTTCGAAATTACTTTCTTGAAAATGATTTCGAAAAGTTGAAAGCAAGATAAAAGATCAGTGGTTGTAATGGTTAGTTATCAAATGGGAAAGAAACTCTCTGGATTACAATAATATATGTTTCAAAATTCATGTTTTAGGAATGGATGGGTGATTTTTTTTTTTTGTTTAAATATGAAAAACTTCAACATCTAGAAACTATTATTATATATGGATTTTTTATGACTACATTTTTATAATTGAAAAGATTGAGCATAAATTTCCATGTATCTTGAAAAAGGTCTCAAAAAGTAGTGTGCATTCCTTTTTACTTTGATGAGGATCTAGCTAGCTAGCTTTTTAATCATACTTTTGTACATGCAAATGCCTTTTAAAAAGGAATATATATATATATATATGTATATTTTTTTTTTTTTTTAAAACAAGGAATATATATATGTAGACACACACACAAATGTGGTAATTGTGTCTTTCCTTTCGTTCCAATTATGACAAAAAGTAGTATCAATACCTCTAATCGTGTTTGTATATTTTATTCTTCTTTTGATTGCCTTTCCATTTGTTAAATAAAAATGTTTTAGGATCTCTGTGGTTGCATAGTAATTGGGACCTTGATAATTTTTAATTATATAGAGTTCCTTGAATTTGTCCCTATAATATTATATATATGTAAATATAAGTAGTATAATGAACTTTTTTGATGACAATGTCGTTCTTTATTTTTATTTTAAAAATCATGCTTTATTAATATTATTCACTTGTAAAAAGCACCGAAAATTTTAGTCAAATTTTGATAAACCCAAAAAAAACAAAGATTTAGAAATTGTTCTCGTGATTTTAGATTTTGCGTAGGATTTTTAAAATGTCCTAAAAGTAGGTAACGGAACTAAATGTGCCTTTTGGTAATAATCAAACGATTATTCTGTTTTTAGGTTTTTTCTGACCTATTTTAAATTGAATATTTCGGCCGAAGTTTTCATCCATTCATCTTGAATAAACGAAGTTGACATATGTCACAATCCTCATTCCATTAAAGACGAAGGAGAGAATTCTTCTCAATTTTTTTTATGTTGTAATTGCATTATTATATTATATTATATTTTGTGTGTGTGTGTTTGCCGCAAAGAGCAATTTCCATGGAAACTGAAACCCCATGATGGAGAATCTCAAGCGAGACATAATGCTTGAAGAAACGCTATCGAGAATAGAATATTAGCATGCATTTTCACTTGAAATGACATTTGGAATATAATATAATGTTTTGTCTTTTCAAGTTGATTTATTCATACTAAGTTCTATTTAGGTATTATTGCTCCCAACCCATTTCATTATGTAACGTGGCGTTTTAGTCTTGCTTTCGAGTTATATTTAACTAACACACTAGACTAGTTTTGGGTATAATTCAACTCTTTTAACTCGTTTTATGATTTTAATAGTCTTGATTTGGATTGCATTTTTTTTTTACCTTTTTAATCCAATATGTGAAAGTGAAGATTTTAATTCACAACTTTAAAGTTGGAGATAGGTACTGTTTAACTAGTTGAGTTAAGCTTAGATCGGTCTTAATTTGTTTTATTTTGGAATTATTTTATGCCTATGTAATTGTTTGATTAGGTAATATTTTGTTTGATATTCTAATCTAATAATAATGAATTACATTATGAGGGAAGTTTGACAATAAATAAAAACGCCATACTATAAATGAAAATCTTCACAAGACACTTTCCTATGATTATAAAAGTTGTTAAGGGTAAATAAACCATCACTTGGTTAATTCGACAAATGTCATACTTCTCAACTTTTTAACTATTTTACATATCTAATCATTCAAGTGTTTTTAGTAGTCATATAGTTTACAGCTTAGATCACAATACTATACAAGAATACAATTTTAATTTTGGATTTATCCAATCACAATCGTTTATATCTTCAAATTTGTATTTCTATATAAAGAAAAATACATTTTTAATATTTGAGATTCGCTATAAATTTCATTCTAGTTACTAACATTATTATAATGGTTAGTCCATAAAATCACTATTTCATTATTAATATCAGTAAAAATCTAATATGATAGCTAGTTACAATTTTATTTATTAGATCAATTTTAAATTTAAAAAACAATATTTTCTAATATTAAAGTTGAAATCAGTAAAGGATTTCTTTAGTACAACACCAACTTTTTGGTGGAGATACATGTTTTAATGGTTGAACTATCTATATATTCAAGTCGGTGGATAAGTAAATGATTAAAGTATATTTTATTCGTTTTTAGTCAACTTTGGACCACTAGTAAGGAAAAGTATAGCTTCAAAGAATTTTTACCTCATGAGGTTAAAATTTTAACTATAGTTTCGATTATTTTTTAAATATCTTTTTTGGCAAGTTGAYTTGGGCACAATTCCTAAAAGGCAAACAAGATATATATTCGGAGCTTTGTCAAAATTGCAGAAAGAAAACAAAGCAAATTGGATATATATATATATATATATTAATTAACTTAAAAAGATGAAACTGAAAAATGGAAAATTACATTAGTTTTCAGCTCCATCAACTTGTGGCTTATTTTGACCGTTGAAATATTTACACAAGGGAAAAAAGAGACGTTTGTTTCGAAACGTTTAAACATCAAAGCCATATCGCTCCAGCTTCCCTAAGCAATTTTTTGAGGGAGCCATTGAGCTGAAGCGTCATGACGGTGTTGGCGGAGCCGATGAGCTTTCCCCCGATGAACACTGCGGGCACGACGGGGCTGCACCCTAACCTCGAAAGAGCCAACTCCATTTCCTTCCCTCTCGACTCCCGGTCGAGCTCGTGGATCTCCGGGCTCGCCCCTTGCTCGAAGAACAGCCTCTCGATTGCGTGACACATGCAACACGTGCTCTTGCTAAATATCACCACAGCCTTTCTCGCGGCGATTTTAGCTATCAGGTCCATTTCTTATATGCTAAAGAGTGAAAATCAAAAAGACGAGAGAGATCGATCAAATGTTTGCTAGCTTCGTAGTACTTGAAAGGCAATATTGGTGTCTATTTATATATATAGGAGAGACTAGAGAGATGGCCAAAAGCTGCAGTTGCAGTGAAATAAAAAGGCTAATTAATTAAAGGATATAATTAAGAAAAGTAAAGATATTTATTAAGATATTTGCATCCAAAACCTTTTATTTTCGTTCTTTCTTTCTTTCTTTTATTGAGAATCGTTAGATTCCATTTTACAATATCGCTCCCAAAAGTTTATACTAATCAAGGAAATTAAAGACCTAAAGGAAAGATGCTGCTATTTTATTATAAGTATGAGAAATGACATAATATTTTATGATCTTGAATATCATAATATTTTATGTCACATGATCATTGAGAGGTGAGGAATGTCAAATATATGGGTTGAATATCATATAGCTGTGATTATATATATACATGTGGCAATTGGATAGGAATTAGAAGAAGATCACGATATCGAGGAATGTCAAATTTGGATATCGAATCATAAGGTGGGATGATCGGAATGTGATACATCATTAATTGCCACCCAAAGATTTGCATCACACTTTGATGATCTCTTTAGCTCTCACTTACTAAATAGTACGTAGATCACATCGATGATCAAGAATCAAACTTTTTCAACTCCCTTCATACAAAAGTTGATATAATTAGACGTGAGTTGTGAAGGAAAAGGAAATTATTGTTGGAAAAAACCAAAACACACCCTTTTAAACTAAAATTGGTTAAATTATAATTAAGTTTATATGAAGTAAAAATAAAAGGAAGTGGCATATAATAATAATAATATATATATAACTATTTTTGTAATATTCTTACAAAGGATAAGATCCCAAATATTAGTGCATATATTACATGTTGATATATATATGGATTAAGGAGGTGATTCCGATTTGTGATTATCATATTGGATAGATGCCCACTACCATGAATTTTTATTCTTCTAATAAAGTAGAAATTAATAAAATATAATTTAGTTATAAGAACTTTTTACCTCAAAATATTAATCAATATGGCATGGCAAAGATTGATTGGTTAAAACGTACACGTTTTAGCCTTCACACTTTTAACTCTTTTGTAAAATTTTGATTTATTAATTTTTTTTTAGTCAACTAAATATTCTATAGCTATAACTTTCATAATGTTGAATAGTACCTCCATGAAAACATACCGAATTTCTAATGTTAAACAATGTATTTGAATGAGTAACTTTTTAATTTAGGTAAAAATTAGAAAAAATAAATATTTATATTTATCAAATGGATTAACTATGACTTTCATAATAACCAGAGATTTGTGTAAATTGTGACATTGAGAAATAGAAAATGTAAATATATTATTAAAGAATATTATTTTCATTCCCACTTTAAAGAGGACTTTTTTTTTTTCCTAAATAAAAAAGGTTATAAATGGATGTATAAGGATAGAAAATAATGGTAAGAAAAGAGAGTGGTTAATTAATTTATGTGTAAATGGGAGGAGAATAAAGGAAAACGAAATTAATTAGAGGGATTATTTTTTCCTCCAAAATAATGAAGAAATAGGAAAAACTAGAGAGGCAAAAGATACAAATTCAAGCGATATGCCACGATCCGACCTTGCAATTCTACGTTCTTCCTTTTGCATGATTTAATATTTTTATCCTTGCTTAAAAGTTTTCATTATTTTTCCATTTTTCTTTTCAACTCTACTATGTTTTCGAAACAATTTTATGTTTTTGAAATAAAATGAAAGAGATTAAAGACTTCATTTCGAACCTTTTTTTCTTTTCGTAATATAGTCCTTCTGTATCTTAAATATTGTGTCTCAGGAGTGGAATCATAGTTTGCCACGTAACCTCCTCAGTTGGAAATACGAGTTTTGATCAGCTAGAGTCCATTCCTCAAGGGTACTCATAATTCTAGGCTGTCTCATTAAACTCGACTCAACACCCAGGGCGGATCGAGATGATATGGAACTTTAGACAAAATTTTGATAGGGAGGCCTTAATATATATGGAATATATCATCTAAAATTTTAATTTTCTATTCTTCCATATTAATCTGATGAAGTAAGCAAATATTAATTTATTAGACAATATGAAATAAGTTTTTTTTTTAAATAAAATTAATAGAATGAAAAAATATAGAACTTTAAAGCTGCTAGATTATTTAAGCAAATAAAAAATTTGAATATTTGATTTCTACTCTAACAACCATATAATCATACTTGGAATAGTTTGGAGGCCACAAAGGGATGAAAGTTGAGAGAGAGAGGAAATTAATTAAAATTAGTATAACCTATAGAACATGTTTATGGTAGGGTTTCTTTAAGAGATTTGGAAATATTTTAATTGTGGGAAAAAAATAAAAAGAGAGAATTTGAAGAGTTTCAAGGTATATGAATAATTGAGTTTTTAAGAAAACTTGAGAGTTTTTAGTCGAGTGCCACACAAATGCAAGGTTCTGCCTACAGATTCTCAGTTCGAATATGTATGTCGTTTTTATTTTTAGTTTGTCTTCTTATTGATTATTAATTATCATTATTTGATAATTGAGAGTTGAAGTTTTGCTCCCTTATACTTAGGAGCACCCGTGCTTGCCCCAAAAACCTGGACCCAGAAGACTGTACAAGCGTTTTTTATATTAAGTCAATTAGAAGGTTCGAACTTGAGATCTCTAAGGTCAATATGACCAAGAGGTACAACTGATTATTATTATTTATTATATTGTTATTTTTTTTAAAGAATTTATAAAGCTGATATTGCCTTTATGAGTTTGGTAGATAATTATTATTTTAATGTATGTATAATAACACATCAACCTTTACAAGTTATTAAACTATATAAATAGGTCATCCAACTTTTTCAAAAAAAAAAATAAATAAATAAATAAATAGGTCATCCAACCTTACAACTCTAAGATTATTATTTTCTAAAAAATTTACGTAGAAAATTAAACTTGTAGGGATAGGTTTTTTGTTCTTTAAAGTTTCCTTTGGAATATAATCTTAAACTTGAGAATATCTTTCAAATAAATCTTTTAATTAAAAAAAAATCATACATCTTAAGAATAAGAATGAATTCAATATAACTCGAGAATATGTAAGGAAATCATTTTTAAAAAAAGAAATACCAAAAAATTTTGACTAGTCTAATTAAACTTGTTCAAAATCTAAAATGATGTAGTTTGTATTTTAATAATCTTAGGTTTGTGTAATATTTAATTAATTACTTTAGTACGATAATTTGTAAAAATTTGGTAAATAATATAAAAAAACAAATTTGGTTTTATGTAGTTGCCAGATTAACAAACCATGTTAGTGAATTTAAAAATGGGCTCGGATTTTCAATTTTAGGTTATACAAAATCCAACACGTAAGCTGAACACACTCAATCCTTATATATTCTCAATCTAATACCATCTCGAGCATATAGGCAACTTTACATGCATGAAAATAAGGTCACATTCTAACGGGAGGGGCATATTAAAGTACAGGACTCGAAAGTAACCCTTTCGCGAAAAATTGGCTCTTGGCCTATGTCTTGAGCCACTTTTCCTTTTTTTCAAATGATAATTCTCGAAATATTCTCAAATACGTATAAAAGTATATAGGTATAAATTAATATACGTACGTAATTGGAAAGTTGCATTCAGGATCACAACTTATCAAAGATTCCAAAAGAAATAAAAAGAAAAAAAAAAGAGAAAAAAAGAGAACAGAAAGTGAAGAAACCTTTCAAATCGATGCCATTTTATATATATAAATATAAATATGATATATTGATATCAGCAATCTATCTTTAAGAATAATATTCTTTTTCATTTTCCTTCTCTTTTCGTTTTAAGCTATATATTAGAGCATGTGGTTTTTATGGAATTAAGTAGATTAATTGTGTTATATTTTTGAGAAAAAGAAATTATGGGATTTATAGAATATTTGATATAATTTGTGTTATAAAATTAATAATTATTATAACAAATACTTTTTTAGTAAAACATGTGAAGTTGGACGATCGAACTCGCAACTTCTTAATCGAAGATATATGTCAATTACTGCCTAGTTATAATTACTTTGGTGTTGTTTTTTCAGTACAACATGTAAGGGTGAGGGATCGAACTCGAAACCTCTTGATTGGAGATATGTATATGTCAATTACCACCGAGTTATGTTTGCTTTGGCTTTATTTTGGTGTTGTTTTTCGACCATCTAGCTTTCAAAAATGTAATACCATGTAAGAGTGATGTAGTGCATGGACCTCAGTCACGACCGAAATTAAATATGGTCTCACATTCTTATTTTTGTAAAATTTTCATTTTACCCTTATATAAGTTTTGATAAATCACAAGAAATCTTGTTTTAATGGAAATAATAGTTAGTTCCTCCAAATTTATTTTCAAATTACAATAAATTTGTAAATTTTATAGCAAATACATCACACACCACAAATTTAAATAGTCTATATAATATTCATTTCTATGATTCAATTAAAATAGATTTTTTTAAAAAAAAATTCTCACATCAATGAAGTTAAGATTCGAATCTCTAATCTCTTGTAGAAAATTATTTTAGTAGATTATGTTCATATGAACAAAAATTTATTAACTAGAGGTAAATTAAACAAAAATATTACAAAACTAAACAGAAAAAACTTATTATTATTTTTATTATTGTTGTTGTTATTGGGAGTAAAAGAAAAGAGAGGAGATATATTGGGATAATGTTGGGACCTCAAAATATTAAAAAAATATATAAAGAAAAAAATATTAGCATAGCATCTGTGATTCTCTGCCTGAGTTGTCTCTGGTTTTTTGGATGTACGGCTACTTTTTTTTGTTTGTCTCTTTACTTTTTGGGTGGCAGTGGAGAATGGACATGCTCAGATTTGAAAGCGAAAGCAGAGACTTAGGACTTGGCTCATTTTATCCCTCACTAACCCCTAAACAACAAAAGGGTCAACTTCTTATTGCCTATAATCTTTCATGACTATATAATTAAAATTTATCCTTTTTACGACAAAGTTTGATATCTTAATGCGTCAAGAAAAGAGAGTTCTTAGGGAGCGGAGAAATTAGGAGTAATCGATTAGAAGTAGAAAACTGTTGGCCCGAGAGAAGATGGTCTCTCTTGAGAAATACATTATGACACGATTTCTTTTCTTTCTTTTTGACATCGAGTTATTAATTCAAGCTTTTGGATTAGAACAGAAGGTACTACCATTAAAGACATATTTTAAAAGTATGAATAATAACAGGCCGTCAATTTCTCGATAGAGATCCCCTAGAGATTGCTGTAGTTGAATTCATTTTCTCTCTATTTGAATTTTTGGGTTGAGTAGTGATTTAACATTATCTACGTCGGAGATTATTGGTGAAGTAATTGATTAAAAGTTTTAGTAATTTGAGTGTTAATCATAATTTTGGCTATGAAGTGAAACCTCTAGAGAATTCTTTGAAGGGCAAGGAGGAAAAAAAGGTAGGAGCTTGTTCTTGAATTTCCTTGTTTTTTTGAATTGGATGCGAATCCCAAAAAAATAAAGGGTTTTTTTTCATAAGGATAAATCCAAATAAGCTTTCTCCACCTCAACAGATGCTCCCAAGATAGGTACAGCAGCAAAACCCCTCATCATATGATAAATAAAAATAAATCAATAAATAAATATATATTATATATACATTGTTCAATTGACTTGTAAAGAAAAAAAAGTGTTTTTTAATAATTAATAGGATCTTTTTTTCCTTCCTTTCTGTGGGTATGGCTGTTTAATTTGGCAAATCTAAATTCTAAACCTGGGAGGGAATTGCCAAATCCAAAAAAGGTGGATTTCATTCCAAAGAATATATAAAATAACAAAATTTGACCGACTTACCAAACGGAAAATATAGATAGATAAATGGATGGCCCATGAACATGGCTCGACGATAATTGGTACTTGTTCATTTCCTTAAAGTCGGAAGTTGAAACCTCATATTTCCAATTTGTTGTATTAAAAAAAAAGATAAATGGATGATAATCCAACATATTTTTTTTTTAAAAAAAGAGTTATTTTACTGACTCAACTCACATTATTCAAAGAAAAATATTTAGATACTTATTGGTCAGCATGATGCTTGAAACAAAATGATTGATGACTTACATGAAGATGAGTGTTTATACTTAAATATTTAAGTATCGTTCTTATTCATAAACGTACACAATCAAATAAGAAAAGAAAAATTATCATCATAAAAACAAAAGACTCATGTTATTAAATTTATGAGTGTTGGAAACGCGACTAATGTTTCATATTGGTTAGATAAGAAAAAGATCATAGGTATATACCCTGGTAAAACCAAAAGAAAAGCATTGCATCTTATATCAAAGCCAAGGACGGACGATAGAGAGCTTAGTGGTATTTGGTGGTAGTTTTTACAACTTGTTCAAAGTAATGTTTATGCTCGTACTACCACCTAGTGAGATAGTGTTTAGTCTAGATCACAAAATCTATTAGAGTCTGCTCGTTTTTTTAGTCTTTGATGTTTTTGTTCGATTGTTGGTTTGGTGTTGTCCTTATTTTTTTTTTTTGAATTTTTATAGTTTTTTTTACAGGTCTCTTCTTTTTTTCGTGCCTTGATCTCAAGYTGTGAGATCGTTGTTTCACGGAGAGTCGTTGTTTGGCTACATCCCTAACAATGAGAAAGAGAGAGAGAGAATAGTTGCAGGGTGGAAAAAGGGATGTGATCTGATTGTAAAAGGAATTTACAAGTACTGAAGAGTCGTTATATGGAAACCGTACAAAGGAGAAGGACACGTTTGTTGTTGTTTTTTCTTCACATAAATATGCAAAGATTCGAAGCTCTTGATTTCAAACCCCTTCAAAGGAGTGGCTTCGAAGTTTCCAGCTCCTCCAAATATCTCCCTCTCTCCTCACAATTCCCTTATAAATATCCCCATTTCCCACTTCATTCCTCACTTCCATTCATCCACATTATATTCTAACTTCTCTCTCCCTTTTGTTTTGTGCTTTCACAATCTCAAGTTTGAGGCTTTAACTTTGAGAATATGGAGAGTGCTGTGAGCAAGTTGGTGGCAGACAGGCCAGTGGTGGTCTTCAGCAAGAACTCTTGCTGCATGAGCCACTCCATCAAGACGCTCTTGTGCGATTTTGGAGTTAACCCGACCGTGTACGAGCTCGATGAGCTTCCCCGAGGGAAAGAGATCGAGCAGGCTCTCACTCGGATCGGATGCAATCCCGCCGTGCCAGCGGTGTTCATTGGCGGGGAACTGGTTGGTGGGGCCAATGAAGTTATGAGCCTTCACCTTAAGCGGAACTTGATTCCGATGCTGCGGAAGGCGGGCGCTTTGTGGGTCTAAACATGCCTGCCTTTGTACTTAACTACTACCTATAGATGTAACTTGACGGTATAGCCAAGAATTTACTTAACCATAGGTATATATTGGACGAAATGGCATAGAGAGTTTACTTGAAAAGTCTTGTGTAAGTCCTTTTTTGGTGACTTCAATGTAATGTATAATGTAATGTTTTGGTTTATCTAATAATAAATATATAAGTTCAAGAGGCTATAAGAACTAAACCAAATGATCTCCACCTGCATGTTTTGTGTTTTGTGTGTCTAACTTCAATCGTCAATGTAATGATATGTTTTGGTTTTATCTAATAATAAAGTTCAAAGGTTTAAAAACTAAACCGAATCTCTAGCTACCTATGGATCACTAACAACCCAACTTGTTTTTGTGTGTGAGTGAGAGAGAGATGGACTTTCTTCTGTACGTGCGCGTGTGTGTGCGTGTTAGATCGAGAAAGAGAGAGAGAATACTTGGTTCATTAAAGTTTGTTTAAACAAGTAAAGTAATATGACAAACTTTGAAAATAAAAAACATTTCCTGTCTTGACATTAAAAAAAGGATCATAAAGTTACACAAATGTATAAACAGGTTTCTACCTGAATAGTGAATACAATCAAACATCTTTGTGTACATAATAAAGTTACAAAAAAAAAAAAAAAACTCTTCATTTCCCACTTCATCACCTAAAAACTAATACATACATGTTACATTTCCACAGTCAAACACGTACGACAGATTGCATAGCATCATCTTCCTGCAAAAACAACTCTTCTGCAGGCAGCTACTCAATTGAAACATCTTTGTAGACCATTCTGCCAACTTTTTTCCAGTCGATCTCGACGAGGTAAGACTTTTTCATTTGGGAGAGATTAGCTCGAATTGCTATGACTACATACTGCAGTTCTTTCTAATGCAAATTTGAAAATAATGGGTCACAATACGATACGACGTTTCCAAAACCAGCTTTGCAGTATCTCCAAATTTCATATGGGCACACGTACGAGTTACTATTTACTCTTCAATGGAAACATTGGGGTGGATCGTTACTCGTAAAAGAAAACATTGAGGGTGAGTTGTTACTCATAAAAGTTCAGTTTCTTCTTGGTCTCCATCAGCATCATCCACCTCATTGTCTTCGTCATCTTCAGGTGCATCGGGATCCACTCCCTGCAACATTAATGAGTTTTGAGTTTCAGAGGAAATACATTTCAACGAGCTTTTCTGAATAAAGCATTCAGAGTTAAGACAGATACTGAAGAAGTTTAAGCTCAAGGCAGACCTTCATTTGTTTCTCTAAGCGTTCAAGACCTTTCTTTGCAGCTTCATTCTGGGGATTCATCCTGTTGTATGATTAATAAACCAAATAAATACATGATCTATGAAGGAAGGTAATCGTCAATATTCAATAATACCACTCCAAAAGCAAGAAACCAGAAGATAAATATATACAAGTTGATAAAAGATTCAGAAAATGACGTCACAAGAAGTGTAGATTAAACGTCTAGAAACAAGCCTGTTTCATTAAAGAAACACAACACCTTCAAAGCAGATTTATTTTTATTTTTGTTAACGGATGCTCGTTGCTGTTAATTGGATTCTGGAGGAACTATTTTTTTGGAAAATGTGCATTACTAATGAGAATTGAGGGTGTGGAAAGAAATCTATTTGAGATCCATAAAGTCATTAGCCATAATGGTTTCTATTTTTCCAACTTAGTTTCTATGCAATGATTTAGGAGTGTTTGGCTCGCATGTGCAAATCTCGATTAATCGCAAAACCAAAAGAATTGGTTGGATGTTAAATCTTTGGTAAGAGACAACATAATTCGAACTTATTTCCTTTAAGCCTTTTACCGAACTTATTTCCTCTAAGCCCTTTACTTTTTTTCTTAATTGGGAACTGAAAGCATGGTACATAAGGTTTCACCTTAATGCAGCTTGATAATGAGATAAAGCCTCTTGCAGCATATTTGTGGCGGCAAATACTTGAGCTAGTTTCACGTGAAGAGAATCATCAGCCCAGTCCTTGAGATACCTCTCCAGTAAAGATACAGCGTCCCCGTTTCGGCCTTCAATAACATGGAGCTCCGCAAGTGCTAGCGCCGCTCCAAGGTAACCGGGTTCCAGCCTAAGAGCTGACTCGTAAAACTTCTTGGCCTAAAAAAAATTTGATGCCAGATCCACATGTGAAATCTATTTGCTACTGACATTCTCTAAAGATCTGAATTACCACAGGACAAATCTTAATGACGTGTACCTTCTCTCTACCACTTGAGTTACTGGCATGTACATCTCCAACCAATTTCAGAGCCTTAGCAGATTGAGGCATCGCTTTCATTGCCTCCCGGGCGGCATATAATGCCTCTTTTATTTTAGACAGAGCCAGATAAGATTGAACCAAACCTGCAGCAAAGTGAGTTCACAACCATTTGAAAGTTAAGCATCTCCGATGACAACATCCGTTTTCCGACAGTTGCATTACATTGATAAATGCAAAACATCTATAATAAATGAATGTCACTTTGAGAGCTGTATAGCAGTGTATAAAATTTTCTCCTTAAAAGTTGCACCTTGATATGAACGAATATCAGGTCTCAATTCCTGAGCATTCCTAAAAGCACTAACAGCTGCTTCTGGCTGCTTCATGGCTAATAACAGATTTCCCTGAAAATAGAAACTAGAAAATTGAGATCATTGATATTCTGTTAAGCACCCTATTCTGGTCTCTTTGCAAACGTTTACTTTCCCAAGATAGAAAATTAACAAGTACCTTCATGATGAAACCCATTATGTGCCTCTCGTCAATTCGGATGCTCTGAATATTAGCAGAATGTTAGTAAATATAGAAAATAAAAGAAATCTCAGAGCTCTATTTCGATAATGAACCTTCTCAGCATAAGACAAAGCTCCCCTCTCATCTTTCGTTTCCCACAATACAGACAAAGCTACAAAAACTTCTGGTCTTGTAGGATCAATATTTAACAAGTCATGGACTAACTTGTTTAGCATTGAATAATCAGACTTTATCTTGAGAAGCATTGCATATTCATCCATATATGTTACAACATATGGATCAATTGATCGTGCCTGTAAAAATAATAAGTCGTTGAGGGACAAATGCAGTTTATCATTATCATAGTTGTACTGAAATTTCTTATTACCTTCTCAAAATTCAAGATGGCCTCATCATTTTTTCCTATGATGGCTTCAACCTGAACACATAGTTGCGAGTCAGGTGGAAGAAAGGTAACAAAATTTTCTTTTCTACTTGCCGTGTTCAAAACATCATTCCATATAGTCAAATAAAATATGAGGCACCAATAGTTGAAAAGACATAGTTCAACTAAAGCCTTGAAAAGATCTTGAGGCCTCAGAACATCAAAATTCAATGAGTAAAAACAGAATATGAGAAAAATGAAAGACAACACACACATTACGTGATGTAAAACCCACTTCAAAAACAATTAAGGATCTTTTTCTCCCTTGAGTAACATAAGCTACCTCCACTTTAAAACAGAGAAAGGTGAGAAACTTCATGTAGCTTCAACATTCCGTTTCACAGTGAACCAAGAATACGTTTATGGGAAAGGGTCGTCATAGATTGTACATCAATAATCTCAGATTTGTCATCACAGAACTCACCTTCGCAATTTCAAGTAACAGGTGGATATTATTGGGAAACCGTTGCAACAGATCCAAAAACAGCTCCAAACCACCTGCACGTGTCAAAAAAAAAAAATACAGAGAGAAGTGAGAGAGTTAGTCTGTCTGTTGTATATCATTTGCATAAGTGGAGGATGGATAAAAGCTAGTGTCTACAGGACACAAGGTCACATAAGTTATGCATCATAATGTATCATTACAAGGTTTAACCTCTGGACCTCAACATAAATGATGCTAGCTCAGACAAGAAGATAGCATTTTTACCTTTATAATCATTTGAAGCGATGCAGCACTGGGCCTCAACATAGCGCTACAGAAAAGGAAAAAAAAATTAAAATTAACATTTTTATTTAAAAAAAAAAACACAGAGAGCTTTCAAAAGGTAATGGGAAAAGAAATACAAGCGAAACTATTAAATCCAATTTTGAACTTTCTCATGATCAATAGGTCAGATTGCATCCAGCACATTACGTTCAAAATGACTCGGTAAAATAAACTATGGAATACGCTAGATTTGAGTTTGGAAGCATGTTATATCAATTAACTGGAATCCAATTACTGTCTGGCTAACAAGAGGTAGTAATAATTTGGCATTCAGTTCTGTTTATTTAATGGAAGTTTGCTTCCAAACTCACACACGCATAGCTTAACAGCCTACTTGGATCAGAAGCTATCTGATTAAGCAAATCAACAGGTAGAAGGATCAAAGGTAGAAGATAGTTACTAGCTTATCTTTTCAAACACTTACTGGCAGCCAGCGATTTGAATCAAAGTGATCAAAAGGAGTTTTGCCACTTCTATTTGGAGTCTGAAATCAAATTCAAGAGAAATCAAACGGGGGGAAACGCAAAATGATGTTAAAATTGCTATAAACAAAAATCACAGTTAGACATGAATAGCATGAAATTTTGATGCAAGTTATCTTTGTTAAATATATAAATCAAACTCGTCACTTCATTCTCATCGGTAGATTAATTATTGGAGTTACACCAACATTACAAGATAATCTTTTGGAAACAGCATAAGAATCTTTGTAGGCATTATCCAAGGTGCGGGGTTTCCCACAAGTTTGACAACGAATATGGCAATACAAGCCAATGCATGGGTTATGCTCATTCAGAAACTAAGCAATCAGTTGAAGAAAAACTAAGAGACTTAAAACCAAGAGAACGGACTGCCATGTTTTGACACCTTGTAAAATCTATCTTTAAGCATAGTGGTCAGCAACTTCTGAAACCCAACTCTAGAAATGGACATACTAATACTGACAGGACTACTACATGGAACAGCAATTTCCAACAAAGATGTAACTGTAAATTAAGAATTACGTGTTCCTAAATTCAATTGATGCTTAAATTTTTTTATCAATATATTTGGCAGACAAACCTGAGGAAACAATAAAATAATATCCTTGGACGTAGCACCAAGTTCAGCTAAAGCTATAATTGCTTCAAACACATAAGGGCAATGTCTGTCAAAAAATAAGTATTAGAATAGCGTGAATGCAAATTTTTATAAGGGGAGAAAGTACTATAATTTTGTTCAACAAGCACATAAATCATAATCAGTAAGCTGAATAAACAACGGGCAGGGAAGTTATTTTGTCAGCAGTCCGAGTTTAATTTTCAATGGTGCAGGATCCAAATAAGAAAAGAAAAAAAAACCATTGGTCTTCTATTATTAAGAAAACCCAACACCAAAACAGTTAATATGTTAAGGTAAGAATAAAAGATAATGGGAAAATAGTTAGAACTTGACACAGTTATACAACCATGGAACAAATCTTGTTCAAGTAAGGTTATGACAATGGTAAAATAATTGACCTCGTTGATACTTCCACATATTACTAATTACAAGTAATGTAAGAGACATCAATATTTTTTCGCTAAAAATTTCCTAAAGTTACCACTGCTTAGCTTTCAATTTGTCTCTGACCATCAAATAATAGTATCCCAAACTGTCCTTAACATTAAATTATTCATAACCTTAAAACCAAGGTCCCATGTATGAAATGAGCAAAGGACAGTGCAATTAACTTCCACTGACAAACCTTAAGCACTCCTTGTAATATGCAATAGCAGCACGGTTATGTCTGGCATATCTATAAAGCTTTCCCATTAAAAGATTCATTTGCAAATTTCTTGCTTTACTTGGAACTCCCTCCATCTGCAAGGTAATACTGACAAAAGTTTGACATCAAGTAGGAAGACGTACAAAATTCAAAGCAACAATAACTCTAGTTTGCAACATAACTTTCATATGAAATTTTATTTTAGAATGTTCACACTTCACAGTTCATAATTTCCCAACCAACAAAAATTTCTTTCCTGTTTATGTGTTAGTTGAAATAGTTATGTGTGTCTGTGTGAGAAAGAGAGATAGAGAGAGAGACCTCTACAAGGGCTGCTCTGTTGTCACTTAATGCACAATAACAGGACGCAATTTTAAACTTCACCTGCCGTAGAAACAATATCAAAGGCATAATATGAAGAGAAAAGGAATACCCTAAACGACAAGTTATTAAAGATGTAAAATTTTAAAAACAAACAAACTGACCAAGGGAAAATAACCGACATAATAAGTGCATAAAAATAATTGAACCATATCTCAGGAGAAAAAAAATTCAGTCTACCTCATTTTCATTAATGGCCGATACATTAAAAGAATTTGGAGAAGAAGACCTGTTTGACTGCAAAGAACTTCTAGTAGTAGTTGAATTCGGTTTAGGAACAATCTTATAGTATTGTAATGCTTGCTTGTAAGTATGCTGCCAAGTAATACAAAAAAGACAACAAAAACAAAAACATATTTTAACACAAAACTAATCATGAAACGAATAACACCTAATCAACTGAAACACTTACGATCGCTCTTCGATACTCCCTTTCCCGAAATAAAGAATCCCCAAGAAGGACCTAGAAAATAAGAAAAATAGTCAAAAAAGGGTCCAACTAGAAGATGGACTAGAGTGGAGAAGTTGTATATTCAAAACAATGATGCAACTAAAGATGAAACAAGTATTCCAAAAACATCAAAATTGAAAAACGAATTAAAAACTACAAACCAAACTCTCTGACTTGAGGTGAGGACTGGATTCTGCGTTAGCAGCTGGGGATGAAACAAGAAAGCAACCCTGAACAAGATAAGAAATATCACAGAACAGATTGAATCCGATCTCCAATCCCGAATTTGTAGAACGCGAGTTTGGTTGTTCGTGTGTTGAGTGAGTGAATTCAAGTGGCGAGAGAGAGCGAAAGCTTACCAGCATTTGAGCTGAACTGTGGAGTCCATGGTCGAGAAGAGTGGAGATTTGATCCTTTGGAACCTCCATTTTTTTCTCAGCAGTTCTTAGTTCGGAAAAACAACACCAAAATTTGAACCAAATTTGCTGTCACTGAAACCTCAACAGAACCT